TTTTTGGGCGAGTAGCAGCCCCCACCACGCGTCCGAGCTCACTGGTTCACCGGCTAAACAAGTACGAACCTGTCGAATTAGTCGAGTTCATTAGTTGCCGCCATAACATTCATTAACAGAAAATTTACACAACTTTCGGACATTCTCAAACTATCGAAGTATTCTTTGGGATCTTCCAATGCTAATTCCTTTAGAAGACAATTAGTAGCTCCTAGTTTATCTTGTCTTTCGATCCATTTTCGTACCCATAGCTTCTTTTTATTAATCACACAAATTTCCTCATCCACCTCTTCTAAAATAGCCGTTACGATCAGCTTAATCAGTTTATTTACTTTATTGCGTTGTAGGCTGTTCATCTTGCAAAACACCACTCACTTGTAAACTGTACTCGACCAAAGTGCGAACGATTTTTGGTGAGTAGCGAGTAATTTATCTACTAAATTACTCGCTACTAGACTAAAATACTAGCTTAATGCGAACTAGGCTTTACAGCACTAGCGTAGCAAGTAGATGTGATGTGAAGTTAGTAGTTTTTAACGGAGTGAAGTGTGCTGAATTATTATTACTTGAAAATAATATATAATTATATTGCTGTTTGCCTATGCTAGAACTATTTAGAAAAGTGCGCCACAGGAAAGCGGAAATCTTTCTTTCCTTGTTTAATTCACCTTCTTACTTTTATGACGTTATGTTTTAAACTAGCGACTCACCCTCGCCTCACTCGGGTTCGTCCCTGGATACTTTTTTTTGAGCGGAACTCTAATTCTTTTTTTAAAATAAAAGTAGCCTATATTACTCCCTATAACATCAGTTACCTTCCACTGAAAGTCCGTCAAAATCAGTCCAGCCGTTTCAGAGATTATTCGGAACAAACAGACAGACAAAAAATTTTAAAAATTACTTTTTCTTATAAGTACCGTATATAATTTCATATGCATTTAGTAAAAAGGTTTATTTTGACATTACAAAAAGACACTACAATTTTATTTATCTGTATAGATGTATAGATTCATATACTTGTTTTCTGTGGCGCCACCAATTTAATGCTTGTCAGCGGTCACTTTTTATACGAGAAATAGTTCTCCTTAGTTCTACCCTCCATATCTCTTTGGTACAGACGCAGCATGGCACGTCAAGTCAGCCTTAAGCCACAGATTAAGGAGACTGCCTCAAACCGCGATATTGCCTGTCCTGTGTTTTAATATTTTAATAATTTTACCTATCAAAACGCAGTATTAGGGAATAGTATTTGACTTTAAGTATTTTAGGTAGTATGAATTGGATGAAGCAAACTAACTAATATGCAGTAAAATTTATAAATATTGTAAACTAAATGGTCTTTTACAAGCAACTACAAAACATCCTACAAGTTAAACTGCAGTAAAGTTATTAAATACTGCATGTCTTTTAGTTTTTCACAAGAAATTACAAAATCCCCCACAAGTTAATGTGCAGTATGGAATGTTAATACTGCACTTTAATTAGGAATATAAATAAAAAATATTTTTTCTTAACCTTTGCAGTATAATCAATTTGTATAGAGTCGAATAATACTGCATTTTAATAAGTTTTTTCTTGAATCTCCTAGAACAAACTACTATTTTAAGTGCCACAAAATATGATAAAACACTGCAGTTTAGTTAGGAAACAGAGAAAAATCTTATGCAGTATTAATTGTACTGCGGTTTAGCTGGTAAACATGGAATATTTTAACAGATTTGTGATATTTTTGCTGTTACACCTTCCGAAAAAACATTAAAATAAAATACTTTTATTAGCGCTACAGAAAAAAGAATTAATTTGACTGATAGCTACTAAAATGGGGATTTAGAATATATATTTAACTCAAAACCGACCAAAATGTCTATTACTGCACTTTAGGCTCAGGTGGGCAGAAGTGACCTTTTTTAACGTTAGGAAATGCATTTAAGCATGAATTGTGGGAATCACCGGCAAAGCTAGTACTACCCACTAAAACCCAACTGAACCTCCCCCGTCTCAATGAGGCGTCGCAGGATCGCTTATGCATTCAACCACGAAGCCCCGATCGCAGGTCTGCCGAAGCAGATCACAATAACCATGGGGTTTCTCCACGGTCCACTCTGCCATCAGAGAAGTACCAAGAGCAACCCGCATAGTACACCGCCCACCGAGGTGGGCCACCTCCCAGTGCGTTTCTTGGCTTCGCGTCCGGTTGTATTGCCAGACATTACAGAGCCCCCCACCACGACAAGGTGAATGCACGTTGGGGGGGATGTAAAGAAGTCACCTGGCTAAGCTTTTCATTGTAAATTTCTAAAGTAATTGACAGTGAGTAACATTGCCATTATCCTTATATCGATATTTAAAGTTTATGACTTACTAGCAACTCACCTACGCTTCGCTCGGGTTCGTTCCTTAGTGAAAAAATAACTATTCCACGAAAACCGTACATTTCTGGGATGAAAAGTAACCTATGGGTTATTTCAGACTATAATCTATATCTGTGTCAAATTTCATCCAGATCCGTTCAGCCGTTCTGGCGCGAAAGAGTAACAAACATCCATCCATCCATCCTCACAAACTTTCACATTTATAATATTAGTATGGATCTATTCTATACTAACCGTTAAAACAAATCTAGGGAAGAATCCGAGCGAAGTCAGGGTGATTTGCTAGTAACGAATAAAGGTAGAAAAGGAATATCGAATTCGGCATCAAATATTATATCCTTTTTTGAACTACTTTTGAAACTACGAGTAGTTTTATTACTCTTATTGTTAGTAACATTTAGTAATTTCATCAGCCGGAAAATGTTAATAGTAAAAAGTACGCAGATAAGGCCAATGCAATTAGCTAGTTCTTCATAAGCTGTATTATATTTTTACGTGGAAATAGAAACAAATAAATGTATTAAGCAGCAATTAGCAAATAGCGCAAAGAAAACGTGTGTGTTTTTTACAAGATACTTTACTTTGTACCTATTGGAGGTCCTTCATACTTCTAATGAATTTTTAATCCCTTCAGAGAGATTATCTGTTTGAGATTAGTGTGTATTTTAAATTTAAAATTATGTTAATACGTTATTTGTTTCTATACTAATGTTTAGAAAAAGCTTCCTTAAAAAAATACTTCACAGTTTTAGATTGCAATTAAATCGGTATGTTTTCGCCTTGATTATTACCTGTATGTACGAGTATGTGAACCGTTTGTCGATTGCTGACAGAGGTCGTTGAAGCCATTATTATATGGGGTGTATCATTTAGACGTTAAGCTATTAATAAGGGTGGAGGGAGAGTCCTCGCCGACTTTATGCAGACTACATAAAACATTAAACGTTGTATATTTCTAACAAATTATTATTAATGCATAAAATATAATGTATTAATAAATATAAGCTTCGGAGTCGAAATAATATTGTTTATTTTAGAAATATATTTACAGAATTCTAGGAATCCAATTCAATCAACGGGTTTTAGTGATTATTATATACTCGTATATTTACACTAGTTACTCATTTAATGCGCGTTTCATGAAACATGTTTCTATAATGAAATATTCATATAGGTAGGTAAAATCTATTAACTGCAATTTGAGTTCTTGATCTTTCTTAGACGTTGCCGTAGGCCTTAACCGTTGGTTATAAAAAGTTGGTTGTAGAAAATTCTTACAACTATACTTGAGTCTTTTAGTTATAATCTATAGGAATTTATAAAAAAGTCACTGAAGGTATAATCAGTTGTTTTCTGTCATTCTGTTAAATTGCACCCATCAAGTAGACTTAAATGTACCTATATACTTAAGCCGTTATTAGTCTGTAGATGAAAACTAAAAATTATAACTATTAACGATTAATTTAAAAAAGCACTTATTATTATATACAACTAGCGGCTCACCCTCGCTTCGCTCGGGTTCGTCGCTAGGTACGTTTTAAATAGATATAAAAAGAAAAAATCTTTCTTTCTCACATTTTAATTATATGTTTTAATACTTACCTATTCCGGACTAAGAGAAATCCAAAAATTAAAATATCATAAAAATTGGAACGCGGTCGAACGGGATAAAAAGTATCCTATGTCCTTCTCCTGGCTCTAAACTACCTCCCTGCCAATTTTCAGCTAAATCGGTTCAGCCGTTCTTGAGTTATAAGCGAAGTAACTAACACGACTTTCTTTTATATATATAGATTTACGAAACACTATGTCTGTTAATATTTTTATTTACTTTTAGGAATTTCTATGAAGATCATTTAAAATTCCCTAAGGTGATGTACATATGTTGGAATTTTTACATATTATATGTTACGCACTATGAAAAACTTTATAATTTACTTTGTAATAGTCTTCGCTTTTGTACATTTATGGACTCTTGAGACTTTTTGAGCAAAAATTACACGTGACGAGCGATGCGTTGGCATTGGTAATAAATCCACTTATTGCAAGGTGTTATTTCTATTGCAGCTATTAAGGGTGAGTTGTGAAATAACTGTTTACGAGTTACAATGATTACTGGTACGTTTGCCGATGAGGAAGTTGTCTACAATTATTCTATCATACTTCGTTAAATTATAATAGGTAATTAATTCGTTTCAATATATGTCTATGCTATACAAAAATACAATTGTAATATATTATTCCTAAAGAAATATGTACATAGTTCATTTATAACGATTGTGTATTATAACGCGTTTTCCGCTTGGGAATGAGAGAATCACTCTCAATCCCTCTAACTATCTTCACAAAAAAAATCACAACTCCGTCACTCTGTTTCGACGTGAATGAAGGACAAACACAGACGCACTTTCACATTTATAATATTAATTTTAAGTATGGATTTATTAAAACATTACAAAAGATGCAACCTTAATATTATTAACATTAACTATAAAAATATTAAATAATTTCGTTACAAAATCAAACGAAAAACGCGAGTGCAATCGTTCCGGCGAGATGAAAAGATCGATTCATTAATTTACACCTCCCGATCTCGAACAGGAAGTTTACGATCGGACATTTTATCTAATGCTACTGTGCCCCGCCTATCGCAGCCAGGTTTATTTACAATGAAACACTGAATCGTCTGCGCAAAGAGCGGCATTCTTTGTGCCTCGCTACAACTAAACTTTATCGAAGTTTTAATTGTGAACGCAGACAAAAGCGCCGTGTAATGGGCAGCTGTAAATGAGTAACAATAGAAACTACAAATAAAATGTTTTATTAAGTTGACGCGCAACGCCGCGCGCGTCGCTAGTCGCCCAACGCACGTGCCCTAAGTGCCGGTCGGAGCGCTCCGATATATTGTTTGTTTACCCGAATAAAACACTAAAATCCAATTCAATAACAAAGAATTAAAGATCCCAAAATAAAATTTATTGCTCGCGTACGATAAAATAGATTTATGAATGTGCCGCGCGAGCGACTTGCCCATAATATTATTAGGTACGTGCGGGCAAACAATTTATACCTAAATATAATATCTATACCGCAGCATGTGCTGAATTATGTAAATATAAACGATATTACCCTGCCGGAGCCGATTTCACGAGCGTTCGGCATTTCTTGGTAACGGGAGACCTGCTGTGGCAACGACGACCCTATAAATAAACATTACTTTTTTCAATACTTCTCACACTTTTATATCCTGTGTAGAAATATTTGGCATACGTTAGTCTAGTAGTTAAAACATCAATTTGAAGCGTTATCTAAAGAATTGGGAAATATTTATTTGTAATATAATTGTGTAAAGTGTAGCCTTACGTCCGTAGTTGGCCGCTGCAAGGTGTCGCTTTCCGTAACAGGCGAGTAACAGGCGAGTAACATAGTCACGTCACACAAAAATGACAATGTGGGCATGTTTAAAAATGCTCTGCGGTTTTCTTCATCAGCGAAATTTTTAAATGTTTACGTCGAAATTACAAAAAGCTCTTGCGTTTGCTGTCGACGTTTGCAACGTACGCAATGAAATTTTAACTTTTAATGTGCCATTCGTACCTATATTTTTCACTATATCTTTACATTTTTGCAACTGAATTAACGAAAGAAGCCCATCTAATAAAGATCATCCTTAACGAGTGTGTGTTGTAACGTAATTTAGCAATAATAGAATATTACATTTAACAGAAAAGACTTCAAACCACTCAAAACTCAATAGTAACTATTTCACCGTCAGATAACAAATATTCACCATATTTATTACTAGCGGCTTACCCTCGCTTCGTCCAGTACGCCTCTAGAAAGGCACAAACAGATCTATCCTACGGGAACCGTTCATTTTTCCGGGATAAAAATAACTTTTTGTTTGACCGGCAATATAAGGTATCACCGTGCCAAATTTTACTAAATTAGGTACATAAGTTTTTGTGTACTAAGCTGTATAAGTTACTATAGTATTTTAACTATCCCACAGGAACTCTTTAATTTTTCGGGATGATAAGTATTTAAAATGTTGACCGGAAATATAAGGTACCACCATGCAAAATTTCATTTAAATCCTTCCAACAGTTTCGGAGATTAGCTCGTACAAACAGACAAACTGACAGAGAAACAAAAAAAATAAAAAAAACTGAATTTGTTTTATTTCTCTTCTTACATCCCCCTGACTCAGTTTTTAGAATATTTATTCTTTGTACAGACATTCGAACTCTACAGTTTTATTATATGTATAGATGTCTTAGGACCATCCTTGAGGTAATCTATACATTAAAAAAGAATTATGAAAATCAATTCATAATTAACAAATATATTATGTACCATACACATATAAAACGAATCGAGTATATCCTCTTTTTTTAGGTGAAATTCGACAATCATCGCTATTGAAATTTTGAGGAAAATATAATGTATGAATAGAATTTACCTATCTATATAAAAAGTCGAGCGTTATCAATAAGAAGTTTTTTTTTATTGATAACGTTAAAGCTCGTCAGTAGCTACTAAACAAAAAATAGTCGGTAAACAAACGGACGAGAAAAAGATACTGCTTTTTTTTGTCTTTGCTTATTTATATACATACGAGTATATTGATTTCTATGCAAATGTATTTAATAAATATATTTTTTCTTTACAGGCAAAATTGCTTGAGAACTCTCATGCATGGCTCGGAGCCTCCACATCTTCGATTGCAGGTCAGTTAAAAATTTCAACCTATAATTTAAATGTTGTTATTTTACAAGTTAATAATTCAGCACTTTGTGTTTTTATTGTCATCCTACATTTGCACTCGTATATTTTTCACGCAGTAAATATAATATGTGACACGCCAGATGAGATTATCTCAGACACTTTCGATAGTGCAATAGGTTACATATAGATTGACTCACAATAGGTAACATGGTTTTATTAGTTGCAATCATTATTTTTAACCGATTTCCAAAAAGTAGGAGGTTCTATATCCGTCTGTATGTATGCCTTTTATGTAGTTTTGTTATTTGTGTTCTGTAATATGATTTTGCTACTTTAATTATTAGCTACATCTCATATTTCATAAGCGATCTATGAAAAATAATTGGGAAAGTTCGCTTACAACAAATATAAAACAATTTGGAAATTACTTTTAACAGATGATTATAAATTCCAAACATTCATTGGCAATATTAACGCGCAAGCTTTTAGAAAATGTATATAATGTATTTTGAATGTTGTCATAACATAATATTAAACCAAATCAATATTTACATTGGTTGGTTTAATAACTATCAATTCTGCGTAAAATGTTGTGTTATATAGCGATATTAAATACAATATTATAACACGCAAATACCCATTTAGAATCAAAATAGTTATATAATCTCAATTGCGTGAATAAATCAAGTGATTATTATATTACATTTTCTAATACTTATTGCACTATTATAATCCGTACAAGCAGTGTGGTAACAGAGCATTATTCACATACGAATACGGCCGAAGTACCGTCTGGCATGGCGTGAGAAAATACCTCATAGGAAAACTGTATCTGCCATTATCCACAACGTCAATTCTTTATTGTTTAAAATGATACTATTCCAAGTAGTAATCTAGCGAATATGTGCCGTAATTCATTGCATGTCTCATAAGAACTTAACTATAAATCTTGTTGCAAAACTCTATATAGGATTAGATAATTATTAAAAGAAAACATCAGTCCGAGATAGAGATATATTATTGTTTACGCGGCATTCTTGCCTTTATCTGTCAATCAGAATACCACGGTCATACCCTCAAGTTGAAAGCCCCTACTTGGACTCAGAACCAGCTGCAGGAAGCGATCCAGGCGGTGGTGACGCAGCGTATGAGGTTCACCCAGGCCGCCACGCACTACGGCATACCCAAAGGGACTCTATATGATAATATATTGGGCAAATCGAAAAGGATGGCGGTGCTAGATGAGGCGGGACTGTTAGCTTCCGAGGAACGGGCTGTTTTAGATTTCTGTTGCGAAACCAGCGTCTCCCCTTATAATAGAAGGACTAAGAAATCGCTTGCCAAAGTGCTAGCTTTTGTTGAAAAGTTAAGGCGTAGCAGAGACTCTGGTTTTGCGTTTGTCGGTCTAACAGGATTCCGTTGGTGGTGGGCGTTTTGCAAAAAACATTCTATTGTATCACTGTACTATGAAGGATCATCTAAGGCTAAAATATCAAAAGTTAAGACAGAACACACTGATGATGACGAATCTTGATTATGTGACATCTTGATTAAATTAATTACATGTTTATGTCATCATCAATGATAACATACTGTAAAGGACAGCCGCATTTTTTATACAACAATATTGTCTCTTTTATCCCTTATTAATAGCAGACACAAAGTTTAAAAATAAGTCTTTTTTGTATTATATACACTTTATTAAGATATAGGTATATATAATTAGTAAATTAAAGATACTCAAACTCAAACAAAAATATCTGTAAAGTTGAGTAACTTCAAACAAATTTAAATCCATCCAATAAATTTTGTGTCATACCTGTACATCGTAATTACTTAAAAAAAATATTGAAATCTTAACATATTTGGTTGTATCGTTTAATTTTATAACAAAACATTTGTTTGTATATAAAAGATGCTGATCTGATATATCTGTCAGGTCCTGTCCAATTTTCAATGAATTTGCTTATGATCTTTGCGTTCGTATAAAAATTCTGTAAAAAAAGCACTTTTAGTTTTATCGAAATTTCTAAATTTTTTGGACAGCTTTTCCATTTTTCTCTATAAAAATCAAATTCGAGCTATTACAAACTTTTGAAAAATAATTAACCAAATCGTTTCAGCCGTCTTCAAGCAATGCGCTTACTCACGAACTGCATCTCATTTTCACTTATACCTATTGACATATAGAATCGTTATCATTGAACTCGGAACTATGGATATTGGATTTAGCTTTATTTGAAGTTAAGCAATATTATGTAGGTCCTAAGAAAAGATTAACTCTTACATTTGTTTCTCTCATATAAGTTATTATATTCCTAGTTCCAGTAAAGCAAGAAACCCAAATGCCATACATTATTATATAATAGAGACCTGAAGTCGTATATTAAATAATAAAAAATAATAGTTCTTACAAAACAAATACAAAATCATTTGTCTTAACTGTAATTTTCTTGATACATAATTAAGAATTACCGATTCGTGAAAGTTTTTTAAATTAATAAAAAATGTTTATTATAATATTATTAAAACAACACTTTTTGCGTCGAAACGCTATTATATTGAAGAGGCACTTATAAATATGCATTATACACTAGTACTTTTCTGTTTATCAATAATGTATGATTTTATTGCTTCGATAAGTTTGTAATTGTAATTTTTGTTCTCACATATTAGTTTTAGTATAATAAAGATATGATAAAAACGTTAAAAGAAAATCCAACGTAAAGAAATCTATTATTAATATTGCTTTGAAACAAACATTTTTTACGTTAATTTGAAATTCGTTGGGCTTAAACAATTTTATTTAAAATCACTTGCAATATAGAGCTATAATGAGATAGACAAACCTAGTATGAGCGTCAAATATTACATAAATGGTTGTAACCATTCATTTTGTGGTATTAATTTGAGCAAAAAACTCATAAAGTTACTTATAAGTTATACTTATTATTGTACTTAAATATTTTTACACTAAAATTTATTCGGGACTGATTAGTTATTATATATTTACATTGTAAGGTTGGCAGTAATAAAATAATTAAAAATATATGCTTTAATGTACTTTGCATGTGATAAATAATTGTATTGTATGTATTTGATGCTAATTATTGTTAGGAATACCTTTAAATATTGTATTTAAATGTGTGACATAAATTAGTTTAAGCACTTTGCCGTCCTTTTATCTTAACATTAATATTAGATAACAACATATACTTATAGCTACTCAAAATAAGAATATTAAAAAAGAAATTTGACTTTAATTGAAGTGGATAAAAAGATAAAAATGAACTGACGTGATACTTTTTTAGATTACGCAAATGATTGTCCTTTTAAATAACAATTTCTTTCGAGGATTTATTTTGATTTCGTAACCGAGACATATAATCGCGGGAGAGATTAAAAAATTGTAATTTTTGCAGACGGTTTCTGTCTACAAAAATTGTATTATTGTATAATTAATACTTTCATAGATTTACGCGAATATTTGTCATTTTAATTTTAAATAAAACTATGTTTTCGAATTTTTTAGCTCATTTATTTTTATTCTTACGTTTTTTTTATGATCATGATTGCTGTAAAGCATTCCCAATGTCGGGAATCAAAAATGAAAATAAATCCGCGAAAACATCCGAGAATATAGGTTTATTTAAAATATTGTAAAATTTATTTAAAATAAATATTGAAAAAATCATCACAAAACCGCAAAAATGTCCAAAACTACAGTTTCATTTAAATAAAAACTGGTAAATTATGTTGTATTGGTTAATTGGTTGGTAATTCGAAAAAATATCTATTTAATTATAGAAATTAAGACCAGCAATAACAAACATCAAACAGTGTTATGTAGATACAATTACGAGTATTACATAAAAAACCTATATTAATTGTTTTGTGGCATAACTTATAGAATTACGTATAAATGCTATGAATATTTATTAATAAATAAAATACAAATTAAATGGACTGTAAAAAGCAACGGTATCGAGACATATAGGAATGTATACCCTAAACGTACATATATTAAATGTAATATAGGATAATTATTATTACTCAAACAATTAACTAAACAAGTAACTATCCACTCTGTTCCGCCAATAAGGTTGAAAATACACTAAACATTAATAATAACAGAAAACATAGGAATAGGGGGAGAGACATACGTAGCCACCTGTAAAAAATAAGAACCCTTTATTAGTTCTGAGAACCGAAGTTAACTATGGTAGTATCGGAAGCTCAACAAGTTTAGTAAGACAATTATGCAATATTGACGTTCAAAGCTGATAGTGATCGAATATGTGACACTTAAATAAACGAGTATTAAATAGTAACGCGGTATTTATAGTGCTGTGTTTTTGTGTAAGTAGTAAGTACTTTACCTTTTGGCCTTCTACCCTTCAATTCATACAAAAAAATGCTGTTAAACCGACGCCCTAGTTAGGTACCACTTTACTACGCGATGTAGCATTTGATCCTTCAAGGCATAAAACCTACGACCTTTTATCCGCACAGTGGGACAGCAGAGCAAAGTACACACATATTTCATAATGTAATTTTTATTCAAACTTAAATATAACATTTAGCATTTAATGTAGAAGAATGTGTATTTTTTGTTACTGCTGTCCAAAGGATCGAGTTTTTTCTAAAATTCTAAAGTATTATACTTTTATTCTAATTAGACATTCCTCGTACATTTTTTAGCTTTCAACTATGTATTATATTAGACTCGGCAAATTGTTATGAATATATTTGGTTTTACTCTACTTTTTAACATTATGTTGTTTTATCATACAATGAAATAATAGTTCTTTCTTAGAAATACTTTAAAAATAATCTTTATTATTAAGTTGATAAGGTTTCTAGATATGTACATATTTTAAACAGCGGTTAAAAAGAAACGGTATAATACCTTGTGCGTGTGTGATGAGTCCTGAACAAGGAGCTGTAGAAGAATATAGCTAAGCTCGTAGTAACTCTTAGAAAACAATTTGTTTCCTTTATTTCAAAGACAAAGAAACTTCTTGGAAAATCTGTCGTTCGCAGGCCTTGATATTATCTTAGTCTACACAGTCTATATACGTTGACGTATAATTTATCTATTCATTTATTTGAATTATACAAACAAATGTATTTATGTATTCAAATTAATACTTCTAACGTTGTTTTGATATAACAATTTCCCAATACATGAGTACAATTTTTTGCAACACAATTATAAAAAGGAAAATTTATACCTACCTTTACATGTGTAGGTATTAAATATAGTCTCTACTCGGCTCTACATCACATGGATTTAGAAGTATCTAGTGCTTGCTTTGTTTTATCGTCAAAATTTACCGTTTGAACTAAAATGTCACAATTAAACAGTAAAGATTCTGTAAGTCAAAGATCTATTTGTGTAAATATAAATTGGTATACTCGCAATCAAAACTCGTGCACTTTAATACTGAGATAAAATCAGGGTCCGTGTATAATTGCGAACATAATTCGAATTGCCACTAAAAGCAATTCCACGCGCACACGCAACGATTAAAATATTGAAATATGACACTAGACGATGATACGATTTTTAATTAAGATAAAATTAATTTAGGAACCATCTGATGCTGTGGCCTGTTGGTTAGAAAACGTACATTGCCGTACACGGGATCGATTTACGCGTGGTGCGAACATTTATCATTTTAATAAAAAGTAATTTCTAACAATAACATTAAACTTAACGTTTTCTGGCAAACACTATTCATTTTCTAAAGTTTCTACTTAACTCGTGATAGATATGAAGTGAAGCAATTTAATAAATATATTTTGGTTACCAAATATTAAAGTGGACTTACGAGTAAAACTATTAATACTGGAATTCGGTAAGCATTTATGATGGCTTGATTCTTAAGGAAAGACTTACTTTTATACGAAGACAGTGAAAAACAGCGAATAAATATTTTAGAGCAGCAAGAATTTGTTCTTAAATTTATTCAAACGATTTTAATCTTTAACAAAATATTAGGTGGATGGCACTTTAAGGGGTCATGAAGGTAGTTCCGAGCGCTAACTTGAGAGGTTAATGCTGTTTTTTTTTTGCATTTTAAATATTTTATTGCTTAAAGGTAAATAAAGTAGTACACAATAACATCACATCGTAAATTAATCATTAGTACTAAATAAAATTTTAACTTACACATACAAATTATAATTAATCCCACAAATTACCGAATGCGTACGAACACTAGTTCTTGTTATACAATATCGTATCTCTATACATTCGTTGTCTTTATTTTTGCCACAGAACAGTTGCGTTAAATTACTTAATTATAATTTCTTACAAATTAGGGTATACATTCCTTAATATATTATTCACAAGTCTTTGTTGTGCCATCTGTTTCAAATTACTTTCATGAGTACATTTTCACGCATACGAATATTTTATTGATATAATTGATACTTTGAGTTATTTAAAGTTAAAGCGTTAACTGCCGCTCGCGCCATTTTGCTTAAATATACCTACTTACTTAAATATATAAGTTTTGTATGATTACGAATACTTTCTTAGGAAAAAAACGCTTCATTCTCCATATATTTATTTATTTCTAATATATGTATTTATTTACTTAAGTTTAAAATCTAAATGAGTAAATAATAGTTTTTTTTATTATTAATATTAAAGTCTGTCGTTATAAAATAAAAAGTAAAGTGCCAGGCGTAATTATTATATACGTTTTTCCAAATTCAAAATTATTTTAAAAACTATATAACAGTCGTTGGGGCACGCGCCACTGGCACTCAATTTTCATAAATATGTTCATTACATAGCATCATTACTTTAATACATTATTTTGCATACAATTCAAAAAATAACTATCCATACTATTGGCGGCAGCATTTGAGTACTGTATTTATTGCTCAATTAATGCTCAATTTTTTTACTTAATTTCGAGATATGGACTAAGATTATAAGATAAAGCGTAGACAATAGTGAATGAAGCCAAATGTACCTAACTGTCAATATCGGGAAGAAAATATGTGAAACGTCAATATAATAATCAGAAATACTTTTAATTCATTATTTCTAATAGTTTTCTAATGAGGTTTTATAATGAGTCATCAAAATTCTTTTTATTTTATGGCGGTGGGAATGGTATTATAGATAGCTAAATAATAAATATATATTTCAGGCTTCTATTGCTATCTTCAGAACGCTCCGACTATCTTATTCTTTCAGTCTGCATCTAATTGTATCTTCCTCAAAACTAAGGCTGTATATTTTACATAATAATATTATTTGTATTTAGAATAATAATCATAACTATGAAAATCACAATTTTGTATAAATTAGGTAATAATTAACTTGAAAAAGACAAATTATTAGTGTATTAAAAAGAATCTATAGTGAAATACGAGATTGATTATTATAATTGATCACACTATATTATTTTTTTATGTTTCACTAAATTCTCAAAACAAAAAAACTTAATTAAATTAATTTTAAACTTAAATTGTAAACTTATTTTACTAAGTTTGGTCCTATAAACATATTTTCAAAAAAACATAAATAAAATATTGATTTTCTTTATTGTTTGTTATTTTTTTACTAATTATTTTATCTTCTGTTTTCTTATACTATACAGATATCTTCAGGAGGTCAGTATTTAGGGATGTTTTATTTTTATTTTGCATGTAACATTTACTTGCACCATAATTGTTAATTTAGTGTTTAAGTTAGGATTAGCGATACAAACGATAGGAGTTAGGATTAGAGATACGATTATAAGCTATAATATATTATTTGCTACAAATTAAAAAATACTATTTGATAGAAGAATTCTAAAGTAATTGGTAGTTAATGGTCCTTAAAGAGATAGCTCTAAATAGGTAAAGAGAAAGAGAAGCGCTATTTTAGCCTATTTAAAGTAAAATCTCAAATATAATAGATATTAACCCAAATTTTGTTTTAATTTTCAGCAGATAGCTACCAGTACCAGTTGCAATCCATGTGGCAGAAATGCTGGAACACCAATCAGAGTCTCGTGCACAACCTAAGATTCCGCGAGCGCGGACCTCTCAAATCGTGGCGCCCTGAAACCATGGCCGAGGCTATATTCTCCGTCTTGAAGGAGGGCCTGTCCCTTTCACAAGCTGCAAGAAAATATGACATACCGTATCCAACTTTCGTGCTTTATGCGAACCGAGTCCACAATATGCTGGGACCTAGCAGTGACGGCGGTGCAGGTATGTTGCCCTCTCATATTGTGTGTCAAACGATTGTTGTATGGAAAAGTTTGATTCATTTTATATATTTTTTTCGGAATATCTCAACAAATATTTGTCTTGTAACTATGGATTAAAGTAAGTTACGTTCTAAGAGGATTTCCTCATTATGTACAGAATTACCATTTCCTATACATATACGTATAAATAGTAACGGTGGAATGTATTAGACTCTTTGTTTCTAAGTATTATGAATTATTTAATAGAAAATGATATAACCGAAAGGAAAAATATAACACTACTTTCCATAAAATCATCGAATAACCTACTTCCGTCAATGTCGTGTTATTTGTATCATCCCTACACATAATTTTATATACACATTTCAAAATATTCTTTAAATTTATTGTAGATGCAAGTACCAATTAAAATAGTTAATTATAGTAGTTAGTTACATCCAATTTCTCTAAATCCTCAACTCCATTTGTAACGGTGGGAGTCCCACGGAAATGATATTAGCTCTTTTTACATTAATCTTTCATGTGAGCATCAAAATAAAATGAACTAAACTTTTCTGAGCGAATATCCGAAATACAACATTCATTTGCCGCTGGCTAAGCCAACGCCACGGGTTCCTGATTGGTCCTAGCGACGACAGAGAATTTTTAATGCCTACATTGGGGATTACAAACTCAGATTTCGTATCAGATACAGGAATGCTAGCGCAATTCTATAAGTTATGGTACATGTCGTGTTTTGGACCATCGTTTTATTTCGTATACCCAACTGCGTTACATGGAACAGTTATGAGCCCGTGTCTTAATTAAATATCTGTAAATATTTTATATATTTCTATATTGCAATGCGAATTTTGTGTAATTCTGTATGCGATTATTGTACATATATACATATATTGTATTTGCGAATTTTTAATATTGTTATGTGACAAATCATTCGGAGCGAATTTTTGCGAGCGCTTATTTATAACTGTGACTATAGGTACTCAGTATTCGCTAAGATGTTTATATAAAACTTTAGTACATATCTCTAAGGAGTTTTTATATACTTAGATATATAATTAAAATATATGAACATAATAGTTCGGCCGGTTAAGACATGAGTTATCGCATTTACTAAATATGGTTAATAATTAGTAGTCAATAAAAATCACACTGTATAAGAAATATTTATAAAAAACAAACATAAAAACTAGGTCTTCCTTTCATTGAAAGTATTACATCGATAATTTCTGTCTTAACTTTCACTAACCGTTTACTTCAGTGATTTAGCGTTGTCCGTTCACGCTTTACGATTGTGACTGGTTGCAGATTTGAGACCAAAAGGTCGCGGACGGCCGCAACGCATCCTGCTGGGCGTATGGCCTGACGAGCACATCCGCGGGGTCATCCGCGCCGTCGTCTTCCGCGACTCGCACACGACGCACGCCGCCCACCACATCAAGGAGGAAGTGCTCCCCGTCTATCCCCCCATCACGGTCAGTATCGAGCGGCACCTACCAAAGTTCGAGTGCCCTCATCGCCATTTCCTAGTAACCTTTTAATGCGAATGCTATGTGCCCGCGCACCTGTACTTTTCGGCTAAGCGATTTATCCTATTGGCCATTGTCATGTTCCTATTGATTTATTTATAATGCGAACTGATATCTTGTACGTAAGAACGAAGGGCTTCGACAGCTAACGTTGTTGCGGATGCGTGTTGCAGGACGGTATGAGCGTGCAGAACGCGTACCCGGTGGCGTGCGGCAACGGGCGCGAGGGCGGCGTATCGCCCAATGCGGCAGCCGCGGCCGCGGTGGCCGCCGTGGCGCACGGGCTGCGGCGTCAGATGTGCAACATGGTGGTGGCCGCCCAGCGCCCGCCCGACCACCCGCCGCACCTGGGCCTGCCGCCGCTGCCGCTGCAGTCTCCACGCCTGCCCTCGCCGCTCTCGGCCGGCCTCGAGTCCCCTCTCTGCTCACCGCCGCCCCCCGGACTCGCCCTGGAGCCGCCCAAGCCCGCCGACCCCTTCCGACCCTTCGCTTCGCCTCGACCCGACAGCCGCTATGGAGAACGCGACGTCGTCGCCGAAATAACCGAGATGGGCCCGCCTAAGACACCGGTATCGATCGCCAAGAACGGCAAGGATTTGACGACACCTCTCCCCGTGAAGATGGAGCCGCCCCCGGCGGAGGCCCGGGCGGAGAACATCTGAAGCGAGGCCGCGGGCGCGGCGCCGGCTCCGGTCGGCATGCCCCAGCCGCTGCCCGCTTATCCCTACTTCGTCCCGAACCGCAACTCTGTCGGCTACTTCTAAGCTGAGCGCGGCTCGCGGGGCTTGGGGCAGACGGCCACTGATGGCCGTCGCCTCAAATCAGAAGTATTTAATCGACATGATTGTATCGGCATTACTTTATATTTAATTAATTATTTAAAATGGACTCGCTGTGCAATAAATTGCTTGTTGTTTAGTTACGAATTTCGTATTATAAAGGTATATATTTTAGTTTAATTAATTATTATTATTTTCTGTATACATCATCGTACGTTTGTTCGTCTATGTTTTATTTACATACTTCGAGAATATTTTATTTGCTATTGTAGTTGTAGAGCGCGACGCGCCGGCGCCGTACGGCGCGTCGCGCTCGCCTTAGAACTAAATAAGTATGTGTAAGCTTCTAACAATTTAGATCCATCTGTGAACGTAGAGATATCAAAATTTAAAACATTTGGCCCGATTCAAAAGACTGTTTGGTATACCTATTCATTAAATCGACAACCTACATACATATGAGTAAGAAGAAATCATACATTAGGGTCTAGTTGTAACTTTAAAGCATAGATGTATGTTTCATTTTACTGTCAGATCGATGTCAATTTCTCTATAGCATGATAGTGGTGTGACGCTTGCGGCTTCCCCGAGCCCGTCCGCTCGCCGATGGCGACGCGCATCACGTCGAGTAGACTTAGCGATCGCCAAATGTAACATAGATGTATCTTTAGCCAGTAGTGATTGTTCCAAATGTTAGGCTAAATTAGAAGATCGGGGCTCGACCGACTCCGCATTGACTTTAAATATATATCGATGTGCCGCTTTCTGTGTCTCTAAAGTTCCTCGTTCTCTGTCAAGCTATGTGTAGCTGTTAGATTTCATGTCGCAGCACTAGGGTACCGTTCACTTGTGATCGTTTTATTACTGAAGCAGTATCTTTCCTTCTGGATAAGAAAAATTTCGTTGAAGTCTTTAAAAAATTTACCTCCATTCCACGACGCTTATCTACTGCGCGCCAACCGCTAACGTAGGTCTATAAAACTATACATATATTATATACAAGTCGGCAAACTAGTGTTGCTATCGTATTTAAATATTGAAAACATTTAATCGTCGTAACTGATTCAGTGGTTAATGTAAGGAGGAACATCGGCTTGCCCGTCGTAGGCTTAGGAGCACTGGAATCGCCGTGCATCGGACGTATAGGAACTTCCTACGTGCGGCTCGCTGCTAACCTATCGTGTAGCTAGAGTATACATTTCGATTAACTTAGATTAGCTGTGTAACTATGTGTAGTGTTCGCTGTTCACGCCGACGACTGGGCCCTCGCCCTCTCGTCGATTGCGTGAACGCGCGTATTAAGATGTATATGTACAAATTTATTTTAACATCTCCTAAAAACAATGTTATTTTGATTCACACTTTCGGCGGGAAAAAAAATCTTAGTATACTAATCTTCTTGCCGCAAGGGTATACCATTATGTATTTAGATATTGTTGGCGGACATTCGTTGGCGTTATCACATGTAACAGTTGAGGAGGAAGGCGCCGGCCGCGCTCGTCGCGCCGGCCCCGCGCGTGTCTCGTCGCAGAACTAGCTAGAGAAGCATATTTAAAATAAGTCTTCAAGTGGCCTTGATATCTCACTATTGTTTGGAATTTGGATTATCTGGTTCGGTTAAAGTTTGGAAATTAGTGTATAAAAAGAGACCAAATTATTAAAAATACATTTGCGATTCAGATCTAGTGTTGAAACTTTTGGCTATCCTTTTGGAAATAAAGTTAACTATAGGTAAAATTTAAAAAAATAAAATTATATAAACGGCCTATACGTTTCGGATGAATTGCGTAAATTTGGTAAATGTTACTACGCATATTTTCTATTGTGTAAGTTTAGGCTAATGTGTTCAAAAAATAAATAAAAATTTTTGAAAAAAGTAGAAAGTGCCTTCCAAATTTTTGACCACGGTAAGTGTTGGAACGTGCGGCGACGATCGGCTGGGAGCGGCCGTGCGGCGGGGCGCGTGCGCAGACGTGAGACGCGCGACGTGCAGTGCGTACGCGCCCTGCCGCACTCGACCGCACTGTACGTGCTTAACTATAAAAAGTTAGAATAATAAAAATTCAAAATTATTATATAAAATTAAATACATATGACTATTATATAGTGAAAAATATACATAAATTATATATTCGGCCGATGTGGGATTGTGGTATTACCCTGACAGGCAAGCGTTAGCTGACTATTCGGCATCAAAATTAATTCTATTATATTTTCTTCCTAACAAAGATCAGAAAACAATGCATACATGCAATGTGCCATTTGTTTGAACTGACAACGTTGGCTTCGTGTCACACTTGGATTTCGTAGTTATATAAACGTTAATTTATTGTACTGCATTGAAAGTATACATTTCGATTACATAAAATATATATAAGTGACTATATTATTTTCGTGATAGTTAAGTGAAGATTACTGTATGTAGTAATATCGTACCTACACCTGACGGGGCGGTTTCGTTCGACACTTTATTTAATCCTTAGCTATTATAAACCATTACTAGCGACACACGTGCGCTATCTGTTGCATGACAATTTTTTCGAGTCCGGAATAATATTATTTTGTGATAAAATACCTAGGTATTTATATTTTTATTGTAAAGAACAACTGTTTTACGATATACCGCTATTACTGTTTAATAAATAATTATTTATTATTTTTTTAACAATTTAGTTACGGAATCCTTCCGCCGCTTTGGGCTCAAAGTATTCATCTTTCTTACCTGCTGAGTGACCAAAAACCTTTATTTCGAAGTATTGTATTCATGTGACTGTTTAGTTTTTAAGTAGTAACTTCTCCGTGGGTAAAGATTAAATTATAAAATAGATCAAGTAAGTTATAACATTCGCTTTTCATTATTCATTTTACTGGAAATATTTTTATTATTCCTGTGTAAAATTATTTTGTTTTGTACGATACCTGTGTTTTCTTCGTTTATATTTGCTTGATATATTGTTGTGTCACACGTTGTATTATTTGAAAGAAATTTATTATTTTATTCGCGAACAAAGCATTGTAATAAACATTCACATCTAGTAAAATCTTATGCATTTTATTTAGAATTCAAATATTAAGTATATTTGAAGATATCATCAACAAAATAAACTAGGCATTGTATTAGTTAGTTATTTAGTATATAATACATAATATGTTAATGTGAATTGCGAATTTGAATCATAAGTATTTCATTTATATTTAAAATTTCCATGTAGATGATTCAATGCGGCGGAATACCAGCGTCCGAGACACGTAATATTCTCGACGCTATCAATATTCGTTAGATACTTTTAAATTGTCGATACATTATATTCTAAGTAATTTTTCTAAGTTCTAGAATTCTAATAAAATATAAAAATATTGATTAATAACACAGGAGTGATAAAAATAGTATTTTAACTGTAACTTTGTCACGATATAATATCGTTATAATTTGTGTTAATGTTGTTAAGATGTTTCCTTTTCATCAACTATCTGTTCCTGGAGTAATCTTGTATATGTGTTTCGATGTGATCAAGAGATATGTGCTGACGTATGTGAGCTCACGTGTTCGCTGTCCGGTCAAACTGCAAGCATTGTTAAATTATATCATTTAATTATATGCACTAATGCATTACCAATATGTAAAGAGAAAGAAGTTTCAACAAGAATTTGGTAACTTGCTCTTTAAAAATCAGGATTTATGTTTAATTGTACCTATTTCATATTTTATCTTTCCTTACAATTCTAGTGGCATTTAGGTTAAGCGATTAGACTTTCAGGTCGGCCAGTAAAATTCATTATGCGGACAGCAAACACAAAGCACCAAAATTAGCCTGTCGTATTTTATCAAGTACAATTATAAAATTGGTGTATTTCTTCAATATTCGATGTCTAAACCATGTAGTTGACAGTATCAGAACAGAAATCATTTAGTAACAGTTCATGAGATAAACTATTATGTAGTATGTGTATCAATTACATTTTAAGTTCGTTATTGTCACAGTGTACCGTTGTCTGAATGAATATATAAAAATAGAGCACAATGTGGTTTCATTTCACCCTTTTTCACAAATCCTTTGCTGAGTTAGTACTTAGTTGTAAGAATATCTTTAATACAATGAAATAAATGCAGACTTTCTTGAGTACAATAAATAATTTAGTTAAACCTTTGTATTCAGCCCTTTTTAACGTCCCACTACTGGACACGGGCCTCCCTTCAATACGAGGGGAATCAGGCCATAATCCACCACGCTGGCTAAGTGCGGGTTGGTGGACTTCATATGTCTTTCGAAAACTTGCTAGGTTCTCTCAGACATGCAGGTTTCCTCACGATGTTTTCTTTCACCATTAAGACAAAGTGGTAATCATGCAGGAAATGATTCACACATGAAAATATCAGAGGTGCAAGACCAGGGATTTGAACCCGCTTCACTCGGTTTCCCAAGCCTTACCACATCATCAAGTTAAACCTTTATAGTTATATAACTATTTATAATAATAAAGCTAATTAATTACTTAAACAGTTAAATATGTACTCAGTTTAAATCAATTTAATCTTAAGAAGGCCAAGGCAGTTCATTCCATTCGTTTTTTGTTTATAATTTTAGGAGATGGATCAATCATTAGTCAATCTGTCACAAACCCAATAGTTAAATCTGGCTCCGAATCCAATTTTGTTGATAATAATTAATGGCAACTTTATCAGAATTTAGAATTAGCGTGACAAGTGGTAGAAGTAATAAATAATTCATTTGCAAATAATAACAATATTAGTGTTCATTTTGCGTAGTTTGTGTCCAAATGGGTTATTTGTGTCAAACATCAACGCATCACGCAATCGCAATAGAACGCCACTCGCGTTTAGGGTTATGCCGCATGCGGCGCTCTCAAGACGCCACTTTTATGACGCACTAACAAAAATAGTTTTAAATTTCCAATAGATGGCGTTGTACGTGAACACAACATTTCTAAAATAAAATGTCATTCGTCCACTTGCAGCGTCATCTAGCGTTTAATGAGAGCAAATAAAATAGCTGGACTTAAATTTCTTCGGGATGGGATGATAGCAAAGATTATACGATACATTATAATTTATATTATGTACACAGTACATTATTAGTACAACTCCAACCAATATACAAGTAGATAGTCTTACTTCGAGCTATTTTTGTTCTCTTATATAGACTATAGACGGCGTTGAACCGCAAACTGCCAAATTATTTTATTTTATATTATGTACGTACTGTAAGATACAAAAAAATGTTTTACATGTAACCGTGGTACAAACAACTCAAGATGTCAACCGCCCATTATGAAGTACAACACAAGCTCGCTACGTAGTGACAGATTTTTCAACCATCAAACATAATTATGAAATAATTCATTTTTTTCTTTTGTTTACCTACAGAATTTCTTAAAAACATTTGAGGATCTATTATTTTCATACATTGATTTTATTCAAACGTCAATAACACATCGACAGATATAACCCCATCTATTGTCATTTATTAGAACTATTCTTTATGTCTCGGAGAGATCCCATGGTAATAACAGAATGATATTATTTAGGCTAATGCCAATGCAGTTTAGAGAAAGCGTCGTAAATATGAAAGTACGTAAAATATATTGCAATATATAAAAAATTTCTTCTGTTACATTTTTTTGAAATCGAAACAATGACTAATTAATTTTAATCTAATTTTGATCAGTTAACTACTGTTTGGTAAATCTTAAAAAAATGTGTAAATAAAAAGATAATTGAAACAAGAACTGTAAATGCTTGAAATTAAAGCAAGTACCACACGCCAAACTATTATAACGGTAACTAAATTAACTTATTTGACACAGCGCTATCTATTAAAGTGTTTCACATTTGTCTTGCGCATAGAGACATATTTTAGAAGGATGATGGAAGGCACCTTACCATATAACTTTGTAGTTTATACATAATATTATGTTTGTGAAGAAAATATATATAAACAAGCTTATTTTTATATTTATGCAGTGATTTTTAATTCCATGTATATTTTTCTTTAAGAATTTATTCTAGTAAAAGTTTTGCTATAACTGATTGAACGCATTATTTATTTGCGATACTTATAAGAAAATGTAAAGGAAAAGTGAACTGAGTATGGCATAACAAAAACCCGTGCAGATATATACTCGTAACAATGGCACACTGCACTACGATTGGTGCTTATAATATTATTGTAACCAATAGAAAATGTTATACATTTATAGATTTATAGATTTCTACTACGTTTTTTTCAATTCAATACATTGGTATTTAAATACTTCTTAGATAATGTAGTTTAGGATTTGTTTAATTTTTAAAGATTCCGTTTGTCTGAAGACCAGTAAAAATTCCGATGGAAGGAACGCCACGTGGATATTAAACAGGCCCAGTACGAAAGTGTAGCACACTGTCTTCAGACATAACCTTTAAAGGGCTATTTTATATATAAAACTTTACCATATAACTCGAGTTACCTACTCACTTATTTAATATTGGAATAATAATTTCAAGCTACAAGCTATTATGTATTACATATATAGTAAGAAAATAAATTTCGAATCCATTTAAGTGTAAAACAATAAAAAATATTTTCACACAATACAATAATTTCTATCGTAATTTGAAGAAAGTACCGAAATAACTGCAGCCATTATTTATTTATAAGTTAAAAGTACGAGCTATTCTCACGCGATATTAGCTAAGTATAGCTGATAGGCATCGATGAACCACCTAATGATACAATCTTTATTAATATATGTATGTAAAAGCGAAAGTGATTTTAAGTTTGTTCTTCTTTAGTTCAGTAACAAATGGATGATGTATTCAGCTCCTTTTTTAACGTACCACTGCTGGGAGTCCCTCTTTACTACAAGAGGGTCGGTTTAGCCTTAGTCCCACCACGCTCTCTAAGCGCGGGTTGGCGGATATCACATGATTTTCTAAAACTTGCTAGTTTCTTTCAAACATGTTCGTTTCCTCGGGATGTTTTCCTTCGCCGTATGACAAGTGGTAATCATGTTGGAAATGATTCGCACATAAAAATATTAGAGGTGCGAGACCCGGGATTTGAACCCACTTCACTTAGTTTCCTAAACGAGCTCTTAACCGCTGGGCTAATACTGCCTCATAAAAAATAATGGATTCTTTTTTCAAAAAATATATTTGGCTGTAAAATGACATAAGCTATAGGGACCGTGCTTGCGTCTAGACTTTTACAACAACTAATTGCAAAAACCTGAATCTGTTGAAATCATTTTTAACTAACGTCAACGTCAAGAAAAAAAGTTGTTGAAATTCATGTTTTATTATTATTTTTTTCATTTTTATAAATATTCTGTGTTCACAAATGAATGTTTTAATCCCACTGTTTTCGGGAATAAAACACTAGAGGGACAATAGTGCTGCCCTCTACATTTCGCGCACGGTCCCATTGCCCGTTACTTCGAGTATACAACAGTAGCAGCATAATACATAAGCACTGTAAAACAAGACAATTACCTATTTAAATTACTATTAACACGTATTAGGTAAAAAAATAAGCAAGACCATGTCTAATTTTATATAATATGAAATTAATGAACTCAACTCATAAATGTTATAAGAAAATACTCTGTATCATAATCAATCACTTACATTTACCAAAAAAAAAACAAACAATAAAACAAAAGTAAACTTTGAAAACAACTGACTTTATTCAAATGAGAATACATTAAAAGCGAATAAGAAAATGAGGCACAATGATCAGAACGGTCCGGTACAAGTACATAGCGTACCCACAAGATTATTTATCCATGAAATAAAACTCTTACATATTGTTGAGCCAAGTTGACTTTATTAAAGTATTCAATTTAGCCAATTTACTAAACTACAGCCGATTAACAGCATATCGTATATACGGGGGTGGGCCTAGACATGAGTGATTTGTATCGATACGACCAAACGATTTCGAATTATCGATTTTATATACATAGGGATTAAATTGATTATACGGTGACACACAATACACTTGTGCCACCCGCTGCATACCTCATCGCTAGGCGCCACTTCGGCAAGCAAGGAAATGATTACATTATATCTAAATACTAAATTACTTAGCAAATAAGTAAAATTGATGGCGACAGTCGCATATATCTAGTAACTAGTGACAGTAAAAAAAGACGAAACACTCGACTGCGCTTGTTTAAATTCACATTCAAACAAATTAGGATTTGCACCAAATTCAACATAAACAATAGGTAATTATTAACAAATTACTCGATGACAATTTCACATTAAAAAAATAAAACATAAAATTATTATTCAAATTAATCATTAAATTTATAATTATATATAGTCAATATAATAAAAGAGAAACCTTAATTACAAATGAAATGATAAACGGACATACATATATAGGTATACGGATACGCTCTGGCGGTGTGAGAAGACATCTTATGTAGGCCGTATCTATATTAACCGTTCGCACAAATTATAAACACCACCAGGGCATGCCCATATAAAATAATTACACTAAAAGACATAGAAGACAACAAATTAACTCGCAGTCGAGAAAATAGGGAATATTATGCGTGATTTATTTGTTTTTTTATTTTATTTTTTTATACAATAGCTTACATCGTTATACATTATGATTGTAAAAAAAATATCCAGCTCCAAAAAAATATATAATAATAATAATAATAATGAACACTTTATTGCACACACAAGAAAAAAAAATAATGAAGTGAAATACATAACAATAAAAAGATGCACAGCAGGCGGCCTTATCGCTAGAAGCGATCTCTTCCAGGCAACCTTAGGGCAGAGGAATCAGTATATAAAAATGGTAGGCGGTGTACTTGTATAAACACATACTTATATACATACATATAAACATACATACATACAGAAATACATACATACATACAAACATATATGCATACAAGCAGTGTAATAGAAAAATATAATCAGTATGTTTATTTAAGTTACGTATTTCAAGTAAATACATATAATAACAAATATATAGTACATAATATATTATAGTAAGTCTAACTGAAGAGATAAATAATGCGTTTTTAACATCGTCTTAAACTTGTCCAAATTATCAGCCCGTCTGATGTGTACCGGTAAAGAGTTCCATAGACGTGCAGCTTTCACAGAAAAGGAGATGGTAAGAAAACAAGAGGAGTGAAAAGGAATTTTGAGGATAAGCGTTTCACTAGAACGCAGGGAACGAGTATGAGAATTCCTTAGAAGCTCTAAACGCTCTTTGAGATAGGAAGGGGTAGAAGGATTAAACAGCACGCAGTAGAGGAGATGAAGTATATGAGTATTCCTGCGAAAGCGGATTGGGAGCCACTTGACCTTTTTGCGAAAGTGAGAAACGTGGTCATATTTACGGAGACCGAATATGAACCGTATGCAAAGATTTTGAAGACGCTCAAGTGGATTCAGGTGCTCCTCTTTAAGGTCAAGAAAACAAGTATCAGCATAATCAATAGGTAATAAAAGTGAATTTTCCAGCGCAATTTTAGTAGGTATAGGCAGAAAATTTCTCAACCTGCGAAAGGAGGAAACAGCTCCAAACATCTTGCGGCTCAGTACACTTACCTAATATAGTATAATTGTTTTTTTTAATATCATACCGATACGGATACTTTAAAAGCCGGCCATTTCGAGCGCTTGGCGTGACGTTATAGTCTATAATAACAGAGCCATTGTTGCCAGTTTAGCGATTTTGTCGCTAAAAATGACGACTTTTGCTTAAGGAATCTTTAGCGACTGTCCCTATTATTTTAAACTTTGACGTCACATTCGGTCTGACCAATGTCGTTGAGTTTCAACTCCTTTGAATACCTCACCTACAATTGCACTTTTTAATAATTATTTTCCTAATCAAAAAGAAATTATATTTAAAAATATTATTATAGGCTTAATTCAAAAGCAATAAAGATCATAAAAAAGTAAAAATATTTCAGCTTTATTTAAATCACACGCATATTCCTCTATTTAGGTCAGAAAACACGGAAATGTCAGTGCAATGGTGAAAATACACTCGAATAATGCACGAAGCGCATCGATGGAGAGTTAAAGAATGTTTAAAAAAAACTTTTCATCGACGCCATTAAATACTATAATTATGAAACTATACCTATCTTCAGTCTTCGTTTAATTATTTAATAAGCCATAACTCCAATCCGGTAGTGGCCGTACATGTCGGTACCGTACCAAGGTGGTCCGAGACTGCCCACCGTTTCACTGTATTACTATTTATATATACACAACAAATATTAAAAAAAATTACATACTAAATGGATGTAACTAACACTTTCAATCAAATATTGTATGAATAATTCTTATTACGTCTTAAGGTGTGAAATTTATCAAAAATAATAATAATAATAATAAAATGAAATAAATATGTAGTGTTAATCACATCCAAAAACTTCAAGATCAGATTGACTCAATAACGATTTTGAGAAAGTTAACATCGAATGGATTATTTATTTTTAATTCGGTGTAATATTAGTCTGAATGACCATACATTATACAGACATACTAACCCTACGTATTTATCAATATTTAAAGAGATAAAATTCCTGGCCATTGATTACATTTGATTATTATATAAAAAATTGTATTTATTTTTGCAAAATAATTATGATATATTTATTAATTATTAATATTATTGTATTATATTATATTATAGTAAGATAGGTTCCAATGTCTTGCGGTGCCAGTAGTCACATTACAAATAATTAGTAAACTAAGCGCTTACACCATGAAAACATTACATATAAAAAGAAACACTACAAAGTGTTTAAAATATAAAGTATCAGATGGAATTTCAGAATAATAATAAAAATAATAAATAATTATTGGATTAATAGAATTCAAAACATGTCAATTATTGTGATAAAAAGAAATTATTAATTTGAGCAATTATTAAATTGTGAAATATCAAAATTAACAATAAAGTATGAATAAAAAAGACAAGACAAGTGTGAAAAAAAGACAAACAGCCACACAACTTCTGAACTGTGTTTGCGTGTTGTGAGTAAACTAAAATCATAATATAAACTAAACCTATCCAATACCCTCATTATTCTTTGGGACAATGACGCAAATAACAACAGAAATTTGGCAATGGACGATGGTAAGGCGCCACCATAAGAGGTTCTATGATCATAAAGTGACACACCAAGACTCACAGCAAGAGGGTTGCCAACGAGCGAGAAAACTCTGAATAGCGTTTACATAACATGTAAAATCCAATTATAGCATCAGTGTTGACAACCCTATATAAAGCCCTTCAACGAATTACACTATTAGTTAGAACTAGAATGTATTATGGTATGTACTGTAATGGTATTGAATGCGTTAGGTAATCAGAGTACACTGTGGATAGCGGTCCTTCGACACTGCCGTGTAAAGCCCGGTGGGTAAACTTTGTATTGTTTATAGTCACGATCCACTAGCCGAGTCCTGTACGCGTCACTATCCATACTAAGCCGCATACGTGGGACTAACCGCATGAGCTGTTCGAAATGACGTTCACAATTATATACAGTATACAATACAAAACGTATCGCTGACGAAATCTATTAACGAAAGCCAACAAACAAAATAAATATCATACAAAATAATTCAGATTAAAAAATCAATAAGATAAAATAAAATGTCAAAAAGATAAAAATAATAATAATTAAAAAAGAACCAAACGTCATTCCAGGGTTAACAGCTTAGCAGTTCCACGGCGCGTACAGGTTCGCGTATCGACGCAGCAAGCGCCGGTTGAGTCGATGCTATTCGTCGCACTTCCTACACGCGCCGGGCACATCGAAGTCCAATACCAGCAGTTTGGTCTCCTCAGTGCCGTTCCTCGAGCCCACTGCGCATATGAGCTTGGTCGCAGAGGCCCGGATGCGCCACACAACCCCTCCGGACCCACCAGAGCCAAGTTCCACTAGGTTCCGTATAAACTCGCCGGTACGAACGTCCCATAGCTTCACTGTGCCGTCGTCGGAGGACGTGATCACGAAACGGTTGCTCGACTGGAGACATGTGACTGCTGATTGGTGTTTATTTGGACCTGTTTACATTGGTAATGTTTTAATTAATATTATAAATATGAATAAAAAAACAGAGAGAGAGCTGTACCATCAACAAATTGCAGGTCTTATTATATTCTTCCCTAACGTGCGTTCACCTTGTCGTGGTGGGGGGGCTCAGTAGTGCCCGGCAATCCAGCCGGGCGCGAAGCCAAGAAACGCACAGGGAGGTGACCCACTTCGGTGGGCGGTGGGAGGTGGCCCTCTTCGGTGGGCGGTGGGAGGTGGCCCTCTTCGGTGGGCGGTGGGAGGTGGCCCTCTTCGGTGGGCGGTGTGCTATGCGGGTTGCTCCTGGTACTTCTCTGATAGCAGAGTGGATCTTGGAGCAACCCAATGGTTGTTGTGGTCTGCTTCGGCAGACCTGCCGTCGGGGTGTCATAGTTAAATGCGTAAGCGATCCTGCGATGCCCCATTAAGACGGGGGAAGGTTTTGTTATATAAGTAACAATTTATATTTTGAAGATAAAAATGATATTAATTGACTAAATATAATATTGAGTAGCCTGTTAGACGTCATTTTTCATCTCTACGTAAAATTTGAGTGAAGAACAAAATGTTAATTAATTTCATTGTCAGTAATTGGCACATCTTGAATTTTTAATAGTAGAAAACTGAAAAATACATGTGACTAAACACTATTAACTTAGCAAGAAAAATCTAATTCAATACGTCAATTCTGTCTTATATATTGTTTGTGACATTGGCAAAGTAATCTTTACATTACTAACTCTAAAAACAAGAAAATTGAATTGAACATCTGTTCAATCTTATCTAAGATGTAATCAATTCTCGAAGACCCGTTTAACTTTGAGACAAAAAATACGTAGGGCTTAACTATACAAAAAGATTAAATGAAGTATGGAACATATGATAGGAGTGTGAAAAGAATGGTCGCCTTAGTGCTTATTTATTGAACCTACCAATACTTGTGGTACTTTACTATAAAGTTTTTTCCTCTATTTAAAAAACAAAGCTTTATTTGTTGAGTCGATAATTTAGTATTGAAAAACCTTTTATCGTTTGGACAATTAAGCACTCGCCACTGAGACGATGACGGGGTTATCATCGTCCGGCAATCTAGCCAGGCGCGAAGCCAAGAGAGATGCAGGGAGGTGGCCCACTTCGGTGGGCGATATACCATAAGGGTTGCTCCTAGAACTTCTCTGAGCCAGAACAAAGTGGACCGTGGGAGCAACCGCTTGGTTGTATGGTTGTGTGATATTTCGGCAGACCTGCCGTCGGGACGTCGTAGTTGAACGCGTAAGCGATCCTGCGACGCCCCATTAAGACAGGGAAGTTTTATTGGGTCTTAGTGGGTAGTACTGGCTTTCCTAGCTGGTGAGTCCCACATAACCACCTATGTGTATACAGGTGGTATGCCTAAATGGATTTCTCAATATTAAAAAAAGGATATAGACTTATAGACTGAAATAAAATCTTTACAAGACTTATCCACTTTACATAAAAAGTTCAGAGTTAAAAATATAACGAAAAACCTTCTTTTAAATGTAGAGAAGAGCCTTAAATAGAAAAAAAAATGATTACTTATTATTATATATAGAATATTTGTATGATGAATTATTTTTTAGTATTAATTCATTTTCCTAATATTCTTATAAAATAATAAATTTTAGTTACATTCTAATTAACATTGAATTATAACTTTTAAAGTAATGTAGAAATCCACAATAAAAAAAATCCGTTTTGTGTAACTGTTTCAATATAATAGTCAAAAAATGAATTGTATATCTAGTGCAGATAAAGAATGGTATTTTAAATAGCATGCACAAATAATTTATCATATAGGACACTTTTTACTGCGCGAAAATATTTCATCTCCGAGAAGAAAGGTTAAAAAGTAACTAGGGACAAACACGAGTGGAGCGAGGGGGAGTCGATAGTATTCTAAAAACAATGTATATGAATATATAAAAATTGAATGTATATAAAGCGTGAAACTATTTAGAAATCAAATACCCATGACTACACTAATACTTACTTAAAAAACATGTGAGATATTACTTTGACATTTTATGACTCGCCTAACTTCAAAATTAACAGACAATCAAAAACAACATTGTTTTAACCAAGCAACACATACAAAAAAGAATATTTTCAAACAATATATGAAAAGGAAAGTAAAAAAAAAGCAAAACTTACCAGATAAAGTATGCAGGCAGTGGCCAGTAGTGATATCCCATACTTTAACCGTTGAGTCTGCGTTACCAGAGACCAGTATATTTGAATGCAGTTCCATACCCGAAGTGAGGGACTGGTGGCCAGTTAGGGTGTGCTTTAGTTGTCCGGACTCAACGTCCCACACACGGATAGATGTGTCTAGGGAACCACTCACCACATGGATACCGTCAAACTGGAATAATAAAACAACTTGTATTAGCTTAAATATAACATTTTTCAATATGCATTTATTTACTACTAGCGACTTACCCTCGCTTCGCTCGGGGTCATCTCTAGATACGTTTTTAACGTTTAGTATGGAATAGATAGACTATATATCATATATACATAATTACAAAACAAACAGTTTTGAACTTTTCCGATTTCCTAGCAGTTTCATTTTTTGGGTTTTGGTTTTTTTGGTTTCTTATATTAATATTCGATATTTTTACTAATATTATAAAGAGGCAGTATTTATTTGTTTGTTTGAACGCGCTAATCTCAGGTACTACTAAACAGATTTAAAAAATTCTTTTTCCATTAGATAGCCCGTTTATTGAGGAAGGCTATATATAGGATATACGAGTATATCATCATGCTACTACCCAAGGGAGCGAAGCAGTAATCATAAATGTTAACAAATCGGGCAAATTTCCATACCATCCATTCAGTAATTCATGGCATTCCATGGTATCGTGGGTTTTGGAACTACGTAGCTGATTGGGATTTCAAAAGACGCATCTTGACCAGGGCTACAAAAGGCATAATTTTTTGGAAAGAACTCAAAAACTTTCTTTTTATATCGAAAAAAATTGTGCAATCTAATCGAAACAACTCTCATATCACTCACTTGCAGGCTATACACTCTGTTCGTATGACCGGCTAGCGTGTGCAAGCACTCCCCTGTCTCCGGGTTCCACACTTTGACGAAGTAGTCGTATGCCCCGGATACTACCACCTTGCCGTCGTACTGCACGCAGCGCACCGCCGCCAGGTGGCCCACCAACACGCGCAAACAACGCCCGTCGGGTATCGACCACACGCGTAGCGTTGCATCGCGAGACCCGGATACCACTCTGGAATATAAAAGACATCAATTATTACGTGTAGGTATTGTATTTAGATCTTTTTAACGTCCCACTGCTGGGTACGGGCCCTAGTCCACCATGCTGGGCAAGTGCGGGTTGGCGGATTTCACTTGTCTTTCGAAAACTTGCTAGGTTCTCTTAGATATACATACACAGCTTTCCTAAATATGTTTTTCTTTATTGTAAGACAAGTGATAATCACTTTTTTATCTCTATTTTTCTTTAGGGACTTTTTTCCTTTTCGGACATGTCAGTCCCATCTTATCGTAACCTAAGTACAACATCATATATATATTATGGAAAAAGGAAAATAGATTCAATGTTGCAAAATCATATCCAAAAAATAATGTTGGAAATAATGAAAACATGAAATTATCACAGGTGCTAGACCCGGGATTTGAAAGCGCGTACTCGATTTCCTAAGCGACACTTATGTAAATTTTACACTTACATATATTATAAAGAGTTAAAGCTTGTATGTTTGTAAGTTTGGAGTACGGTTAAATTAAAACTACTGATCCGATTCTAAAAATTATTTCACTAGTAGGAAGCTACATTAACGCCGAGTGCTAAATGCTATTTTTATTTGAAAAAAATGTCTTTACTGCCAGAAATCATAACAACTTTAATTGAAGTCGAAAAAAATGGCCTATGAGTTGCTTTATCAGCGTGCGCTGCCTAAAAGGTTTGAAATAAACCAATAAAATGAATGGCAAGATGATAGCTTCAACCACCGAGCGTATCGAGGGTAAGTATTATACATATTTTTATTTTATACATGTGACCCAAATGCCAATATTAAAGGAAATATTAAAGGATAATGCAAATATTAAAGGAGCACTCGGAAAGAATGATTTTTTTCCAACTTCATTTACAAAATATTATCATCTGATTAGCTTATTTTTACAAAATGATCACAAGTATAATTTCCGCATATAGCCTTCCTGGACCAACCGTCTATTTAATGATAAAAACGGTATGAAAACACTGAAAATCCGTAGTTACGGTTTCTAAGACTTGTTTGAACAAACACAAACTACACTTTGGGATTTACTTTATAATTTGTAATTTGATTTCCATTTATTTTGGAATACAAATAATTCTCAATTAAATCGATAATTAACTGAAAGTTGTTAAACGCATAGCAGTAGGTACTCCTTATTATACTTATGCAATTCTACAATATCTAAGACCTAACAAATATATTGGCACACATACATTTTGAGTGAAGTTTATATTTACTATACAGATACGTATTTACTTCAATTTGGCGGTTATATTTTAATACTGTGTAAGTGAATAAAGTATTGTATTCAAAAAATAAAAAAGTTTTTTTTTTTTGTAAAAAAAACAAAGACGTTACACGTAACAACAGATAAAAATAAAAATAAAAAGAAAAGTTTTATCTATGGCTCAATCAAGCATTCAACATGTAATATGCAAATGTGCCAATACATAATAAGATGGAGGACAAGCAAGATCTATTGAGTGTTTGATGTGGATCTACATACGCTTATGCAAATATGCGACATGTGTGATATAAATAAGAAAGCGGAATTCATTCGCATAAGCTGTACCATGAAACGTTGAAATACATATATATATACACAAAATTAACGATTAAATGAAAAAATATCTCCTTAAAGGTTTCTCTCAGGTTAAAACTCAATAATCAAAAAATCTCAAATCTATACTAATAATGTGAAAGTTTGTGAGTATGGATATATAGATGTTTGTTACTCTTTCACGCCAGAACGGCTGAACGGATCTGGATGAGATTTGGCACAGATATGGATTATAGTCTGAAATAGCAATAGGCTACTTTTTATCCCAGAAAAATGTACGGTTCCCGTGGGATAGATCTGATTTTGTTTTCCTGGAGGCGAATCGAAGCGAGGGTGAGTCGCTAGTACACACACACACATATATATATATATATATATATATATATATATATATATATATATATATATATATAAAGATATACTTATTAGATTCATCTAAGATATAATACATACTTTTAAAAATGAATAAATATGCGTAAATAAAAATTAAAATCCAAAAATGCATAGCGTAGGAGTCGTACCTACAAATAATTGTTTATTTTTCACCAATGAATACATATAATAGATATATGAGTCTATCGCATCAGCAAAAGAACTAAACATACTTATTTCAATAGTAACTTTTTAAGTTAATATTATTTCCTAACAAGAATATTGCACATGAAATTCTTTCCAAACGTAAATAAATAAGAAAATATTGTGACAAGTTCGCATTTCGAAAGTTACTTATAGAGTCGCTAGCAAAGTTACTTCGCCCTCTTATTGATTCGTAACTCCTAAGGCGAATGTTAGATTTAACTTAAAAATTTCTAGAAAGTTGAAGAACTTTCTAGAAATTTTTAAGTTACATCTCTGAGAGGTTAATAAAAAATATGTTGTGTTTTGATAATGTTTATATCATATTATTATTTATAAACAAGAGACGAGAACATAAGAACATATGGTGAAGGTTAACCTGTAGACTATGTACGAATAATTAAATTATTACAATATTTTACTGAAAGTGAAAAATACATGAATCTACCTCCCAATATAAAGGGTATAAAGAGTGAGTATAAATAAGGCCTCTGCAACACACAACACACTACTGTTGCACTTGTACAGAATAAGTATTCTGTACAAGTGCAACAGTATGTTAAAAAGAATAATAAACTACACGATCAAGCTGGAGCGAACCCATTCGAATTAACCAACGAGGTATCTACATTAAATTGTATGGTGAAACTTAATTATATATTTAAACATTTAATAATTTATATAGTAAAATATGAAAACAGAGCAAATATAATGATATTTTCTATTATATAACAGTCGATATCATTATTATATGACGATACTAGAAACAATATATTAGTAACTACAGTGAACATTCGCTTGCTTGCAGATGTCAAATACATTAACTTTCATTATGTGACCTTAGATAAAAATGTTTTTATTCCAGTACAAATAATATAGTAAAACAAACATTCACTCAGTTATAAAACATATTAATATAATATATTATAACGTTTTAATTCAATTCATCCATACAATATTAGACTTAACCATGCAATAAAATTCTGACTGGATCAAATGAACACATATTAATATTATTATTTTTATTTGTAAGACAAGTTAGATGATTAATCTCTATAGATTTCTCTTTTTTCTATAAATGGATGCGGAAATTAAAACACGCATGCCAGCAAAGCTATCAATACAACATCTAGTATTTGTACGCATATCGAATGCTATCGAAATAGCATCACTATAGTGACACTATAATCATAATATATAAAACCCTAATATATGTACATACCTATTCTGGTGTAAATGCATACAGCGTACGGTAGAAGTGTGACCGGCGAGCACCTTCAGACACTGCCCGGTCTTCGCATTCCACACGCGCAGTGTGCGGTCTGTTGAGCCGCTGATGACCAGGTCGCCGACCATCTGTGAGGACCACACGCCGCCTGAGTGACCCACTAACGTACGGAGACACTACAAATTGATAGAAAACAAATTATTATAAGATAAATAATATTTAAGTTAAGAAATTTTATTTAAGTATAGTGTTACATTTTAAATTGTGAAGCTGTAAATTTTCATACAAAACGCAAAAACGTCTTTCCTCTCATTAACATAGTCTAATTTTCATAATTTTTGGAAATGTTGTAAAAATAATGAAAAACTAGGTCCGTGCGTTTTTATTTTAAGCTATTAGCATCTAAATATGTGTATTTTTGACTTAAAAACTGCGTCGAGCGTTTTTTTTTTTTAAATTAAATTAATGTGAATTACTAAAAAAGAGAAAACAGGAAATGTAGGTAATTGCCTCTAAGACTTGCAACTCTATCCCACCATACGGGTTAGTAAAGCGAGCGGTATGAAACAGATATCATTTTTTTTAAAACCTACTCGCGCCGCGAATCGACACTTCGCAATTCCCTTAAGTCGAGACTAAAAGAGTGAGAGAGGATAAAGGGTGCAGAAAATGATGATAAAAGCCCGAAATTGTTTTTCATTTAGCTGTTTATTTGTAATACTTTTCTCACTGGTGTACTCGCAGTACGGGAAATGTAAAGCTAAATTAACAAAATAATTATTATGCTGACTAGTTTTCTATTATAAAAATAACCCTACTAAAGAAGAAGTAGAATTAATGATCAAATGTGAAAGCATCTGTCTGTCTGTTACCTTTTTACGCTTAAATCGCCGCACATATTTTTATGAAAATCGGCAAGAACATAAGAACTGTTATAGGCTGCCTATACTTTAATTAACTAGTATTTATTTAACTGGTTTTATATGGATAAAACCTACCTTCCCAGTGACCGCCGACCACACCTTCAGAGTGGTATCATCACTGCCGCTCAATATGCGATTCCCGTAGAACTGGAGGCAGGTGATGACGTGATCATCATGGCCTCTCATCACTATGGGGTTGTTCACCGGTTTGTGTAGCCAGTTGTCCTGTATGAGGGACTGCCTCATGTAGGCGGCTTTCCATGGACTAGCGCAACGAGGTAGGGAACGGGGCATCTTCTTTAGTGTTGTTAGGCCTATGCGTCGACACTGTTCCTTCCATAGCAGGTTGTCATCGGCTAGGAATCTATTAAAATAAATTAATATATTTAAGATAAGTTTAAGATCAATCACAGTGGTGTGCCATAGAAGAGGCATATTAAGTATATATGGACCAACAGCAGACGAAAATTAAGATGTATTATGTGAATTACGTTTTGGAATTATAAAAGCGTATATGCCGGTCGGTTTGCTATAATATGTAGGCACAACAACGATGTATAAAACATTCTTCGATTCCTATTTAGGTTTAGATACCAAGAGATCCTATTACCGTATGCAATTGATTAATTTTTATTTATAGCTAGTTTACCCGACAGACATTGCTTTGTCTTAATTTTTTTTATCAACTTTCAGTTTATACAAATTTCCTAGAGAAAAAAGCACTCTTGGGGTTTCTCGCATTTCCCAATAGGTCGGGCAAGTTACCCAATTCTTTTTTCTATATAGCTACAAACCTTTTTAAAAATATTACGAACATTTCGAAACAATTAGCCAAATCACTGTGTTGATCACGTTGTTGATCCGTTCTGTTGACACATGTACCAGACGAACAGGATTTCATTTTTATTTTTATATATCTACAACCTGTCTTTTTAACAAGATTGTTTGTACAATAATAAATAAATAAAAAATAGTGTACATTTGACCTTCTGAACCAGTATTTTCTATAATTACTTTGTTGCAATTTAAAACACAATTATTTCTCCAAGAACGGTGTCGTATTCCCAAGTCAATACCAATTATAGCATAAATATCCACACATGCATGGTTGATTGAACTGTCCGATAACATTTTATAACAAATTGCACTTCAGTACACTTATGCATATACGTCGTTAGAATTTTTAAATATCGTTAATTTTCAAAGTGGTTTGACGTAACATTGACATATACATCCTAATTTTAGTCGTTAGCAAATAACTATTGTATTATCCAGCATATACCAATAACATAACAACAGTCAATAAGATAAATGTATAGATATATATATCCTTACCTCCAATAACGGCAAGTTTGGGCAGCTCTCAATAGATCTTTCGGCTGTAAGTATCCTAGTACTGTGAGGGCTAACTCTTTGGGCAGGAGGGAGATGAAATCTCTCTGGAAGAGAGGCTCAATCGCTTTCATCATGTACCGAACGTGGCTCGCCGCACAACGACTGATCAGTGTGTCGATTGCCTGGATCTTCTCCCCATTGGACCATGATTGAAACCTAGATAAGAACTAATCGATATACGGCGGATCCTAATAACCTATTTATCTGTTGTTTTCTTTACTAGCGATTGGAATTTGGCATAATTTGTTTGGAGGTTATGTCAAATTTCTATCTTTAGAATAGAAATTTTCAAATATATAGGTATTAATTGACCAGCTATAGTACATTTCTAATTTGATAATATTGAGTTTATTCCATTTTCGGTAAATATGTATATATTTTTGTATAGGTATGCGTATTTAAGCGGTATTCCGTAGGATAAAGACACTGAAACATAAATAGTTGCATTATAGACGAATAAGGGTAATACTTCAAAATGACTCTTTAGAATATTATTATCTTATATATATACATATATATATATATATATATATATATATATATATATATATATATATATGACATTTTGTATACAGGAGATTTCAAGGGGCGATAGATCGATCTAAACTAGTCTTATGTCTGGGAAAACGCATGTTTTCGAATTTTCATGCGGTTTTCTTTCGCATTTAACCACGCAAAATATGGTCGATAATTTCGCACGATAAGCAAAAAGATGATAAGCATCATGGTCAAGCGGCCAAGGCGCAAGATTGACAATCATCGGCGTCCGGGTTCGAATCCCAGTCGAATAGAAAGTTTTTAGTTTTTTTGTTTTTTTTAAAAAATGTACTTTTGGCCAAAAACTCCGAGCAAAAAGCTTGGTCACCCAAGTACTATTATGTTTAAAAGTCATAGTAAAAATAGTAATCATTCATTATACTTTTAAAAATGCTCGATGTTAAAAAATTAATATCATATTTGTAAGAAATAGCCATTAGGTAAATGAAATAAAAAAAAGTCTTTTTCAATCGACCAATTACGTATATTATTCAGTGCATCGACTATATAATGTGTACTGTGGGAGTAACCAACACCACCACCACTTCAAAGTGATCAAAAACTGCATACGACTGGTATGAAAGTATTAATAAAATCGATAACTGCACGGGCTACTACAATCCCGTACAGTCAGACAAACGTTGTTCTGTTATGTGTCTATACATATCATAAAATTATAACTAAGTACAATCTGTACATAAAATATTTTTTGGGAAATCTAATTGAAATAGACATTATTATCGATACAGAGTCCGAATCTATAGTTTTTAGGATTTTTCTGTCTGTTACCGCATCACGAGAAAACCACTGGACAGATTTTGATGAAATTTGGTATGATGATAGCTGCAACAACATATAGGATACTTTTTACCGCGGGAAAATATATCGTTTCTGAGAAAGAATACAAAAACTGCATTGTAAGAGTATACTAATATGTAAAACCTAAGAATTTGGTTTTTGGTCATCTGAACGCGGGCGGAGCCGCGGGCAATGCTAGTACAAAATATATTAGGGAATCTTATTTTGACGGGTCATAAAATTTATATCAATTGATTGGTAGTGTCAACTAGCAAAATCCACGAGAGCGTGCTCTGTCCACTGACGTGGAATCACAACTTTGATCCGAATTTCGAGCATGCGATGTTCGCAGAAGCGTTAAGCGTAGCCCGAAATAAATGAAATTACCTTAGGTATTAAAACTCGGGAAATTTAATATGGCCATATGGAATCTGTGACGCTTCTTTCGCTTTATTTGAATTTTTTGGTTCCCAAACCAGGGAAAAGATAGTTTTATTTAAAATGTCAAATATTCGCGTAAATCTAAGAAAGTATTAACTATAGATTCGGCCTCCGTATCGATTATAATGACTATTTCAATAAGATTTTCCAAAAAATATTTAATGTACAGATTCGACTTAGAATTTAATTATATGTATAGATGATGCGAGCAACTTAATATGACTTCACTTTGGCAACTCAATTTACCAACTAACTACCTAGTTATTGATTTCAAAGCAACTAAAAATTTTATAGGGTTTTCAAAGATCTAGCATAAAGTGTTTTTTTAAAGAAGTTAGGTTTTGAAATAATTAGTTGTTGGATTGGGTAGTTAACATCTAAAATTCTTACCCACTTTCCGAGTTAAATATTTCACAGGTACAGCACATGGACTCACATATAAATTCACCTTATTAAATAATATTATTGATGACCAGTTTATTAGTATACTTGGCTTGACATTATTAAAAATGTTTTTAGTTTATCGCTTTGGAGTGGGTAGAGTACGAGACTCAATATCAAAATTAACATTTTTGGCCCACACGCACTTCAAACCTGGAACTAAAACGCATGTGCCATTTCTGCACTATAGAGTTCCGTACTTTTATCACGCGTTTTTATTGTATTTTCAAATAGTCCATATTATAAATTTGAAAGTGTGTTTGTTTGTCTTTCTTTCACGACAAAACAGAATAACGGATTGGCATGTTTTTTTTTTTGAGATAATTGGAGGGTTAGAGAGTGATATTTGTATTTTTTTGACATTAGTATTTTAAGAGGCTACTTTATACCGCGGGATATTATCTCATTCCCACGGGAAAACGTTATAATACAATCCGAAAAAAAACGATGATCAGAATTAGTTCAAACTTATTATAAATGCTCTTCAATAGAATTAACATACTTGTTTTAGCATTTTTCAAAATGCATCCTTTAAGGGGATAAAATGGGGGGGGAGAGATTTTGTAAGAAAACTACCTTTTTAGAGGGTTTTTTGTGTAGTTTTAGCGCGAGCGAAGCGGCAGGTTCTGCTAGCATTATTTTCCAGCAATAAAAAGTATTCTATATGATGCCCAGCTATCATCATACCAAGTTTCATCAAAAGCCTTCTTTCTAGTGACTATTCCGTCACGGACAGGCAAAAATTCTAAAAACTATAGATTCGGCCTCTGTATCGATAATATTAATAATGTCTATTCAATAAGATTTTCCAAAAAATATTTAACACAGTACAGATTTGGCTTAGTTACAATTTTATTATAAGTATTATGTAGTATAGATAACAAATAAATACATTTGAAATAAAACAAATATTGTATCATTTCGAGCAGCCCTGTGACTAGACTAGAATAGAACGTTTAAACATAACGTATTTAGATAGTCTGTTTATTTTTTAAACACTTTTCCTTTGAATTTATAATATATCAATTAACATTCTCATCAGGATAGTAAGTAATTAATTATACATTTGAATCGTGTATTATGACTGCGGAAATCCTGACGAGTCACTAATGAGAGTTATTGTGTCAACCTTCAAAATCAAAGTGTAGTTTGAAACGTTGTGAACCAAAAAGTTAAATTAAACTGCAAAAAAAACTTTTTTTCATTTATAACGACAAGTATTCGCGAAAATCTAAGAACGTATTATCAAATTTAACGTTTCCTACTTTCAGGAATATAAGATATGCTTTCTCGAAGCAGTCTTATTTAGTCTTAGTGCTTATTTGTTCAAACTACAAATATTTTTAGTACTCTACAGTAGAGTTTTTTTTTCTATATTAATAAACAACCTTTATTTCTAAATATTATATACATATATAGATAACATACATCCTTTCAGCTTCTTTAAAGAAAAACGTGTATATTATACCAATACAACCATTTAAATGGCAACAATTCTGTATTAAAAACTCTTTCGGTGAATTAGTCGTTTGGACAAAAAAGCACTGAGACGACGTAGTGCCAACATCAACATTAATTACCAACTTACATATTTAGCCATTGCTTTAGTTCTGGGGGTCCTTGAAGATTTGTATTCTGTAGTGCAATATTCGCGTGTATGGTTGGCCATTCGGTTCCCGAATTGCTCACGACACTGCCGTCGGGACAGAACTTTTTAGCGGATTGAGGCGGCGGTGGCTCATATCGTCTTTTTCTCTGCGCAACAAAATCATCATATTATAATAAATACATAATTATAGTCCTTTTCTTTCTTAATTAATAGTTTTTCAACGTTCTACTGGTCATACTACCCATACTGGCTAATTCGGGTTGACAGGCTGTTTGAGACGTCTTTCGAAAATTTATAACATCCTCTCACATGCAAGTATACTCATAATATTTCCCTTTTGCGTTACCAATAAGCTACTTCTATCACTTACGTTAATAAACAAATTTAAACGTAGGTGTCACACCTTTCAATTTTCAGAATTAATTTTAAAAAGCGATGAGGATCAGCCCTATTAACCCAAGCATTGAAGGAATCATAAACTATTAATTCTCAGGGGGACTATTATTGTTTCAGTTGTCTGTAGAACCTCCCTGCCATATTAAATTAATCGTGATCACAATAACTGGCCGACAATAGTTAAAACTCAAGATGATACTTTAAATAATACTGTTAATAGAAGATACACTAAAATTATAATAATCATTGAAAAAATCTTTGTTGGAGAAACAAAAACAATACCTAATATTATATTATAATATTTATATGATAAAATTAACGTATGTTTTTTTTCTCTAATCGCAAGTCTCACAGTAAATATTTTTAAGATGATAAGATATAATTCTATTGTTTCGCACAATCATATAATCTAAGGGAGATTTAGTTGCTGTATATTTTACTAGAATATCAAAACTGTTTTTTATTTAAATACTAAAAACACAAAAGTATTATATCAATAAAGCCTATTTAGTAAAATATTGACGAAAATACATATTTTTTACTCACCCACAGCCTGTCATCTGGCTCAGGCTCCTCTTCTTCATCATCATCCTATAAAACATTACCAAAGCATTTAAGACAATCTTTTTCTACGAATGCTAATAATCTATCTATCTGTGGTTTTTGTTACTAGAGATTAAACTTAAAAAATTAAGGATAGGTAGGTTATTCGGTATATAGGTCAATAAAGATGTGTAAATTTCACATTACGTTTACGTTACAAGCAATTTTATAGAATTGCTGTATCGCAATAAGATTTATATTGACACCTCCAGGTAAATTTCTAAGAAATTAATTTAAATTTTAAGAAATCTATTGTTAACTGACACGCCGGCGTGTCCGCGGTCGTTGAGGGATTAATCTAGTGCGGTAGTTTTTACCAAGGCCATATTTACCAACTGTAATAGTAAAACAAACTTAATTATACTTTCAGATAAGAAATCATTGGCAAAGAACGAGATGTCCCCGATTAGTTGAATACGAAACCCGTGTCGCAAACAATACATACTTTGACTACCAAATGGGGGGCATTTATATTCAGATTTTAATAATATACTCAAGAATAAGTAAGAAAAATCATAAAACAAGTAAGATTCATGTAAATGCATTAATTTAAGATGTATTCATTAGCTATGATTTTTAAAAAAAAATATGCAAAAGGGAAAGTCCCTTGTGGAGCAGAAAGACTGACTCCCTGACTTCGTCTTCGCTTCGCTGGAATGCATTTATAAAAACATCTAGCAATTCATTTGCTTATATACAAACATCTAGCATTTAATCATCTATAACATAGCCACAATAAAAAATTAAAAAAATTTAGTACAATGTTGTTCAAAAAATGTAATTCGCATTAATCGTCGTTTGGTAAAAAACATATACAAGACTACAGGACAAAATCCAATAAAGTGGAAGCTCATCTTTTACTTATTTCCTAAATTCCTTTCGAAAATCTTTAACTAGAAACCTACTCGAATAGCTTTCATATCTTTATGGATTCTCCCATTATAATTACATACCAACGAGAAAAACAACGTATGCATACTATCAACCCTTATCGAATAAAACTCACCTCATGGGATGAGAGACACGTGCACCACGACTCCTCGTTAACTTCATCATCTGAGTCGTCATCGCCCTCACAGTACTGGTAGCTCTGAAGCAAGAGAAATATACATTACAAAATATTTATAAACGCTCATCATGTTTATTTATCGGGACACAGGACACTTAAATCAACGTTTATAAAGAAGTTGGCATCATATCCTTATAGGAAAAATACTATACCATTTGCATCTTAGCGTCTTCTTCCTCCTAGTGAACGTTCAGAACTGAGTTTTCCACAGACTAATCAAGTAACTCTCACGATAATTGAATATTCTAGCATCGATGGCAAAAATATTAAACTATATAAAAAATCGATACCTGTTTTATACGTAGAAGTTAATTGTTAATTCAGTGCTGCTTTATGCTGTGTACGTAAAATAAATTTGATGCTTTGACGGTAAAGCTAACATTAAAATTGCGTCATATGGTGTCTAATTTGCATCATTTTAATTGCAATGCGAATTAAATCTCTCCGTACAATCTTAATTGTAAATATTATCACACATTAATAATTTTTAACATACTGTAAATAGATTCAAGTTTATCTGCCATGGAAGTCTGGCATTAAAACAATAAAAAGATAATCTTTTTTTAAACCATGAGGTTTTTTATTATAATAACCAGGCGTAAAAAATGTAAAATTCCTAAATTTTTAAATAATATAAATAAGACGTGTTCTAAAAAACAGGTTAAATCTAAAGCTAATCTTTCTCAGACTGAATAATTGTAGTGGTGACGAGTAAATTGTATAGAAAAGGCTGAGATATTTTTCTCGTCTGCCACCTGTCATCCGCCTGGCAACCCGTCATGCACATCCGCCGGTAAACCTGAGTTCTGCTGTTGTCTTTTTAACATTTTTGTTTTCAAATTTCAAAATGGAACGTATACGAGGCATACTTTCTAGATTCCCCATACATTTTGATGGGAACACTTCAGTTATACATTCACACAAGGTTATATATTTCAGTCTTCATTTTAAACTAAGAGAAAACGTTGAATAAATATTTTGTTACAGAAAAACAAAGGTAAAGTGGGTTTGGCGTACATAAATCACAGCATATAAAGGTATTTTCAGTATGAAATTTAAGCTGATATAATGCTGTAGCACCATACATATTTAAATTAAATTTTAGTAAATTAAATAAATTAAAGTATAATCATAAGTTTGTGAAAAAAATAAATGATTAGTAATATCTTGAAGGTCTTTCGCGCGAGAAATAGTTTAGAAAGTAATGCTTAAAGTAAGTGAAGCATAAAACTACAGTTTGGCAAATTATTTCAGGTTCATTTGTTGATATGAGATTAAATACGGCAATTCGCTTTATCAAATTAATAAACGATTTGTTATTATCTACTTACAAAGTAAAAATAAATGATACAGTAAAAAGTTTGTTTAAGAGTAAGAAAAAGCAACAAAGTATAAAATGATGCACATGAACATATTATATTGAAGTTATAAAAAATATAGCAAAGGAAGATGACGTTAGACTACTAATATATAGATGTTGCAATGGCTAGTGTTTTCATTATCATACTTGAATGAATGATTGATTAAATAATAGCAACATTCTTACCGCTGATTTAGAGCTTCCACTTGCATTCCGCTTACTGCTATCATCCAAGCCCAGGAGTTTTTCAGCATTAGACGTTGAAGGAACTGTAAAATCTTTGCTATCTGAGCCTGAACTGCCGATACTCGACGCATTGGAACTCGTCCGACCTGACTGACCCACATCATCCATATCGGCATCAGCAGAATGCTCCATCAGATCTCCTTTATACAGCTTCCCTTTAGGAAAGTCTTTCTTTTCTTGAGTATTACTACTTAACAACTTCTGCATAAAGTCCACTTTTTTTGGAGGAGGTTCTATATTAGAGTATAGCGGTGTGCGTGAGTGGATCATATTTTTTATGGTGGCATTGCTACCTTCACAGTCGTCGCTCTTACTACAACCTGGTAAACTGAAGTCATTGGCCATCATGTTAGACAGCGTAGATATAGTCTCGGAGCTAGAAGCTAGACTTGAGTTCGCGCTAGATAAATTCCCGGAATAACGAGCGGTTGTAGCAATTTCGCGATCAACTATCATACTAGAGCAATGTTTAAGTATCCTGTTTTCCTCCTCGAAGTCCTCGCGTTCTATATCGTCTATTTGTTGCCTTACATTACATGGCGGTTCCAATCTGATATTGGTATCAGTTTCAGTTACATTTTCATATGAGATTTTGCTTATCTCATACACATCACATTTGGAATGAGAGCATGATGGTTCCATTCTAGATTAATTCTGAAATAAAGGTATGCTTTAATAATTGAAACATTTTTTTAAATGGTATATGATATAAAGCACTTACAATTAGGTATGGTTACTTATTAGTGTTGCATGAGTGGTATGCCTGCAAAAATAAATTTTGATATAAATATAACATATTTAATTTTAACTAATAAGGAAGACTTAATAAAAATTTAATGTAAATTTTATTTCAATATATAATTTATTGTTTCCTAGCACATGCCCTTGTTTCTCTCATGCCAGAACTATAATCGGTACTAACTCGCTGCAATACAATATGTACTAATAATATCTTTTGTTACTCTCAGGCCCATCAATCAATCAGTCTATCTCTATGCAAAGCATCTAATGTTGATCTTTTGTTGTCTAAAAACAAACTTTCACATATTTTATAATATTAAGTAGGATTTTAATATTGTAAATTTCATAAGTATACATACAAATATTCACAAAAAAATGAACAAACTGTAAAAAAATGCTAAAATATTGTAAGTAATAATTATTAAGTGACAATTTTAATAGACATAAAAGTTAATCTAAAGTAACTAGAATTCTTTAAACAGATTGCTTAAAAGCTGTCAGTTAAATATAACATCCATTTTAGTAGTGAAATAACATAAATATGGACTTTTAGTCAGCCTATTATGTTCATGTAATGTACCAAACATTACTTTATTAGGAATTGATCATTTATTTATAATAAATAAGTTTCATTCATATTTAATATAGTATATGAAGGTACAACTTTACTATACAAAAATTTAAACAACACTAAAAAGAACAAAATAAGTTTCATATTATGTATGTGCAAGTAATATTTCACCAAAACATTTGTATTTTTTATAATTCCAGATTATTTAGAACACAGCAATGTTTGTTATGAAATAATCTACAATCTAGATTTACTTGTACACAAAATTATAGCTTCAAAAAATATAATTTATTTTATTTACTATACCAACTTATGTCACAGTAATTACTGCACTATACTATAATAATACAGTAATAAAATAAATACTAAATTATATACACTACTGAAATAACATGCTGATTGTTGCTTAATGACACATGATATCATTTCCGATTAATTTTCTATGCAGCTATTTTTTTACGAATGTCATCCATAATCTACTCACACACTTAGGAACAGACAGATAAAGTAAAAAACACATTACATTTTAATTAGTGTAACTACAAAAACAAAATTATCCCACTATTAACACTACAAAAATATTAAATCATTTGAACTACAGATAACACGTTAGTAAATAATATATTTACTTGATACAATTTTGAATCACTTTTCTATGCAGCAATCTTTATAGTGAATGTGATCATGTAGAATCTATATACTCATCCATATTTTAGTATACAGAATAGAAACTTTAAAAATATTATCATTTTAATATTATCTATACAGTACCACTAAATGAATCCTTTAAGATCGTGACATGCCCCAAATAAGTCAATGTTACTTGTGCTATAATGCAACTTACCCATACAGATCTACCACTATTAAAACACACATCGCTTACTCCTTACTTAGTAAGTCCTTTGACATTATATGTAGGACATATAATATAATAGTACTAATAATTATATAATAATCTTTAGGAATTAATACTATTTTTACTGAAAATTGTTTCTTTTTCTACAAAACTATCTCTTAAAATGCTTCCTATATGTTTATGCTTATATTAGTTCTAATATCTATAGCAAAAAGTGAAAAATTAAAAGATAGGTTTTACACACATCTTGTATTTACCTTTATTTTTATAAAGGCATCAAATATTGTAATTATTTATTCAAAAATTGTAATAAATATGTCAGTTTTTTTTGTGTATTATCTATACTAATATTATAAGGAGGAAAGATTTGTTTGTTTGTACTGAATAGACTCCGAAACTACTGATCCAATTTATATGAAATTATGTAAAAACATAGTTTGAAACCCTGAGAAGGACATAGGATAGTTTTAATCCCGAAAATCATCCCTAAAGTGGGTGAAAATGGGGTTGAAAGTTTGTATAGGGAAGCAACCTAGGGACGAACCAGAGCGAAGCAAGAGCGAGTCGCTAGTGTAAAATATTAAGACAGTAATATCAATTTCTTTCTAGCTTAGGAAATCATCAAATGAGTACAAAATAACACTAAATTGACAGTGTTAGATACAATAAGTAAAACATTAAAACTATTGTTTTACCAATTATATGATTTTGTTTTCTAAAACAATCTTTGTAAAATTTACTTATTATTAAACATACTGTTATTACTACATGTAACAATATTATATTAACTATATATTTATGATGATTACATTTATGAAAATATTAGATTGTTTAATAATATCTAAACAAATAATAAGCAACAAGTAATTAAGAAAGATTTATGTAGATAAAGTGCACAGTTACTTCACAATCAGTACATTAGACAAGGCCATTATTGAATACATATCAAGTAAGCCACTGTCAAGTCAGAATCAAGGCCAAATTAATCTTAGGAGCCACATTATGCTCAAAAAAGACTCTGAAAAAAACTATTAAAGTATTAAACTTTAGGTACTTATACACTGAAACAAACAATAGCTCTCGATCACGTATGTATCCTCTATCTACTAAGTACTAACACGCTGTATTTCGTCAGTTGCAAATGCAGGAAATCGAAGCATGTGTATTAAAGTCAAAAAAAGAAGCGCAACTCCGACATAAAGGTCTCTGAGCGTGAGAATTTTTTTTTTCACGCAGCACAGGATTCACATGCACTCGTGCTAACAAAAAAATATCCATAGGCAATTATCCACGGTATATGTTGAAATTCACTGACCTTTTTGTTAAAAACTATTGGACCCAGCCAATGACCTATTTATCTTACGTATAGTTGTATGCGCAGAAACGCAATCCCAGCTAAATAGCTCTATCTGGGATTTTGAAAGGATAAGGTGCGAAAACATAAAAAAGGAATGAGAAACTAATTACGAATCACACATCCGTCATAAAACAGAAAAATTAACTTACCTATAATAGTGTTATGATATTGTTAGGTTCATTAGTTCTTCGCGTTATAACATTATTTTAAAAACATATTAATAATCAAAGTTAAAATATCGCACAACCTTTAGCACTATCTTTTGCACGACCAACACGGTGTTCCGTGTTCGGCCATCCATTGACCATAAACGTGTAGAGCAACTTGGTGTTTGTAGTCTGTGTTGTGTAGTGTGTACCATAGAGTTATAGATTAAAGTGCACGATTGCCATATTATAGTCATTTCATAAATAATTTTCTTAAAATTTTATTAATATAAAACACTTATGATTTTAAAAAATAAACATTTTATAATGATAATAATAAAACGAGAAAAAGATTTTCATAAGATTAGTACTGTCTATGTAGAATACTCTTTAGTTTAGATTAAAAGAAAAAACATTATAAAAAGCGAATTCATTTTTTATTTAAAGTAAAGACAAACTTAGTCCGCTAGACTTCACAGTTATTACTGCAATTCACACACGACACAAGTAAATTAAACTTTTATTTATTTAGATATTACCATTGAGATATAAATCGAAGTCTGTTAAACGTTATAAAACAAAAGCTCGTTTTTTCATTTTCTTTTTTTCTTTCTCTTTTTCAGATTGTTTCTCTTGTTCCTTTGCTTTGATTTTCTTTACTGGTTTACTTTCTGATTCTTGAAATTTTTGTACTTCACATTCTAAATCAAATGGGCATTGATCCGCCGAGTAAATGGGCATCATGATTACTGGTACGTAATTAGAGTTTCCATTGTTTTTCTAAAAAAATAATAGGGAAAATTAGTTGTAGCTAAATGCTAAATTGGAATTTTAATTAATCCGTAAATAATTTATCCGTACAATACATTATTAATATTCTTATAAAGTGCATATTGTGACTAGTTTTGTTAAATAATCGATTTAAAAAAATGCTAAGAATCATCAGTTGAATTAAAACTAACAACATTTTGACCACGCAGTAATAAAATGCGGGAAAGAACTATAATTAATTCGTCCGTGACATTTGGCTTTTTTGTTTGCCCATAGATGATATACTATCCAATATCCATACTTACTAATACTATAAATGTGAAAGTGTGTTTGTTCGTTTGCTTGTCTTTCTTTCACGTCGAAGCGGCTTGGCGGATTGGCGTGATTTTTTGTGTGAAGATAGTTGGAAGGCTGAAAAGTGACATAGGCACTTTTTCCGGGGCCGGCTACGGATGCGATAATAGTTATGAGAAATAATTGATAAGAATGACTGCGTTGAATTATATTGAATTACAATTAGGTTTCAATTTAATAAATATTAACAAATTAAATTATAAGATGCCTTAATATTTCTATAAACATGTAAATTATGACTACACATATAAAAGGTTTTTTTTTTTCACTGGAAATTGTTCACGATAATTACTGGATCAATAAAATGAAATAGTTTGACTCACAGGAATAGTTTCACACACTTCATCTTTGATTTGACTGGAACCTGGGTTTAACAACTGGACTCGGTGTCCGGATGCCGTCGGGATGTCACGTTGATTAGGTCGGTGCTGGATACAGAGCTGCGTCAGGCGTGTATGCCTCAACAGCTAGATACCGCTTGCTGCACAATGGACTCTCTTCGTGATTCAGGATACCGGGATTTTTCCGGTTTAGAATGGTCAATGCTGTGACCTTGGGTTGAGTTCGGATCGGGAACTTGACACTGGATTATGACATTGGATTTAGACACTCACTCACTCACTTGCACGTTTTTATTTTATTGGGATCCTTATTTATTAGGCACTATGGAATGTTTTCGGGATCCCACCGCTGCCACCAAATGTTATCATTGGAAAAATTAAAATCTTTTTAAAAAAGAATTTATTTATTAACACTAATTAATTTATAATATAATTAATGTAGGACAACTTAGACGTGAGAAATTCGGCAAGTGTTAATGGTTCCGCGATCAGATCCGAACTGAGCTTGAACTTTACTATGGGATAAATCTATGGAGTTAAAGATGCTGATGAAGCACTTACTCATTATTAATCCCTACAGTACAGGGATGTAACAAGACGCTGAGTTTGCGTCTCTCTTAATCTAAAGCGGATGGACGAGGTGTAACCATAACTATCTGTAATTTGTTATTACCAGTATTCCGGTCATTGTTTCAATACTTTGTACTAGGTAGCATTATTATTATAATTCGGGTTTTAAGTAAAAAAATACGTATTAACTTTTATTTCATCGCATTTCTAAAAAATATATAATATATAAATATAATACCTATTTAAATATTTTTAATCAATTACTCTATAATTTATATATTTGAATGTGCTTAATAACACTTTAGTTTTTAAATATAATTCGAAACAAAACGAAAGCCAAGCATGTACAATAAAAATACGTACGCACGCATGTATGCACGTAGGTACTAAGAAGTTATACCTACTTTTTTCTTTTTTTTAGAGAGTTTAAATAAAAGCTTTTTAGTTTTTTTTTAAATACTTATTTAAACTTTTTTTAACGTTATTTCTTTTTTTCGTATTCTCCTCAGCAAACCCTTTAATTTGATATCCATATCACGGGGGTGCATAAAAGAAACAGTCCGCCATATTGAATTTACGATGACGTCACTTTACTTCTTGTATTTCGCTCAACAAACCTTTTCATTTGATGCCTTTATCATATAATATGATAAGGGTCAGTATGGAAATAATAAGTAAATCGCCATTTTGTAACATCCGCCATATTAGATTAAAAATTGCGGCATTTAGGTAATCGTGCATTGTCACGAGAACCAAACGTCTGTGTCTTCTTGTTTACACTATACTCTATATAAAGGTAAAGGGAGATTTAATAATCCGAAAAGATAGTTTTTTTTAAACTTGAACCTCTACGTGTTGGAGCTGAGTCCCCACGCAAACCATCGAAAGGACCTTCTTTGAGCTCGTGAAATCCGAAGAGAAACAACGAATAAACATATTAATGATATAGTTAATACCTAACTATAGTTTTAATAAAATAATAATATTAAATGTGATTTATTAACATTCGTTTACTTATCAAAGTAAAGAGTATTGTTTTGTATTAATATATTTTGTTTGTTGTTCTATATATTTTTTTTACTTTACAAATAGTAAGTACGTATTGTTTTCATAAATTATTTTTTTTTATATGAAGTTCTTTTTATACTTTTTTATAAAGATAATCGTAAAAAGAAAACAAATAGTAAATTCAAAGATGATAAAATTTAATTTATAAAATTTATTAAAAATGTTATACCTATTGCGGATATTATATCAATACATGTTAATTTTTAAATCAATAGTCAACTAGGTAGGTAATAGGTAGGTATAATATAGCTTATAGACATACTAGCAGAACCCGCGGCTTCGCTCGCGCTAAAACTACAAAATGAACTAAAAAGATAGGTTTCATGCAAACTTTCATCCCCTATTTTACACCCTTATGGGATGAATTTCGAAAAATGCTAAAACGCGTATTTATTTCATTGTATTTAAGAGCATTCATAACAATTTTCAAGTAATTCTGATCATAAATATTTGTGAAACAATGAAACACTTTTCCTAATATAATCTTTATATTGACAGTAATAAAATGTTTTTCCGTAGGAATGAGATAATCTCCCGGGATAAAAAGTTAGCCTATGTTACTCTCCTGCCCTCCAACTATCTCCACACAAAAAATCACGCCAATCCGTCACTTCGTTTAGACGTAAAGGAGGACAAACAAACAAACAAACTTTCACATTTATAATATTAGTAAGTATAGATACTATTCTGTGACACTCCGGGATTTAAAATTTAAATTAACTAATCAACAGCCAACAGATTCTAAATTAGTCCAAGACCCTTTTGCTATTCAACACTCACATCATTCAGGTTAAATTCAAAGAAATATTTGAGGATAATATTTATTTATTTTTAACTTTTAACATTTTTATGCTACCATTGGGACAGTAAATCGAAGTCTGTGTGTCTACTTAGAAGCCACGGTTTTGGTTTGTTCAAAGGTCCACCTCCTCGTTTCAATTCACCTCCTTTTGCTTTTTTTGATTTTTTACAGGAATGCCAAATGAACCTAAAAAATATTTGATTAATTAATATTTATGTTTTAACGGGTAGTATGGAATAGATAGACTATTTATTATATATTATAATTAGGTATGATGAGATGTTGTGGTTTGTGTTATAACGTGTTTTACGTAAAAAGTAGACTATGTCACTATCCCCAAACAAATTCACGCTAATCCGTCACTCTGTTTCAACGTGAAAGAAGGACAAACAAACAAACAAACAAACAACCAAACAAACAAACATTTTTACCATTATACATAATATTACTAGCGGCTCACCCTCGCTGCGCTCGAGTCGCCTCTAGGGAAACAAAAACAAACCTATTCCACGGGAACCGTAAATTTTTCCGGGATAAAATGTAGCCTGTTTATTCCAGACTATAGTCTATCTCTGTGCCAAATTTCATCCAGATCCGTTCAGCCGTTCTGGCGTGAAAGAGTAACAAACATAGTAACAAACACAACTCACAAACTGTCACATTTAATTATAATATTAAAATACGGAATTACGGATAATGTAGAATGGATTTCAAGGGTGAATGCCACCTATCGAGTTAGACAAAGTATTCCTTTCATTCGCAAATTCATAAAAGAGGGCGTTGCATACAAACTATTCAAGTTACGCCTAAGTCACAAAATTGTCAAGAGATGTCGCTAGCAGTAGAAAAGCTACTGATTCGAATACAGTGAAGTGTTTTTATATCAAAATTTAATTTGGAATTATTCCTATTTTAGATTTCCTTTACATATAGATATAATATTTTTTGTAGATTTATGATTCACGGAAGATGATTGACCTGAATTAAATGTCTAAAACATATATTTTTTTATTTCGAATAAAAAATGGGGTTTAGCAATAAATGAAATTAGTTATGAGTTGATTTTTTTGTCTACAAATAAAAGTTAATACGTTTATTGTTTATCTATTTTAAAAGATTGAAAGATTTTATATGATAATAAATTTACATTTTCAGTTTTATTCTATTGCGAGCAAGATAATATAAAATTACTAGCGACTCATCTACGTTTTAACGTTTAGTATAGATTTCTCAGAGAAGAGATATTTTCCCGCTGTAAAAAGTGTCCTATATGTTGACCCGGATAACCCAGCTATTATCATACCAAATATCATCAAAATCCCTCCAGTGGTTTTTCCGTGATGCGGTAACAGACAGACAGACAAAAATTCTAAAAACTATAGATTCGGCCTCTGTATCGATAATAATGTCTATTTCAATAAGATTTTCCAAAAAATATTGAATGTACAGATTTGCCTTAGTTACAATTTTATTATTATTATGTATAGATTATACATGAATCGCTTGACTCATCCTCGCTTCGCTAGAATTCGTCCCTAGTAAAAAACAAACAAATACACATCACAGGAACCGCATATTTTTCCGGGATGAAAAGTAACTTATGTGCTATTCCATACTATAATCTATTATATAAGTGCCAAATTTCATCCAGATCCATTCTAGCGTGATTGAGTAACAAAAATTCGTCCAAACTTTCGCATTTATAATATAATGAAACTTAAAATAATATTTAAAGCTCAGATATTCTCACTTTGATTATATATTCTGCCGTAAGAAAATGCACATTCTGTTTCCTTTATCAGAGACTTCGATGGTATTAAATTATTATATTGTTATTTGCCATCAATTAACATATTCGCAAAATTTCAAATATATATAACAGTTTATTAATAGATTAGGTATTACAAGTAGGTTAAAACTTAAAATTGATCTCCAACATTTGATACATCATACATAGTTAGGCACTAGTTATTTATAGATAAAGCTAAAGAGAACGTGATTAAAAAAATCTTGAAAAAATACAGGTAGGTAACCTGTGCTAACCCAGGTATTCATAAATTATTATTATTATTATTTAATAGTAGCGACACTACCTCGCTTCTCTTAAAAAGTAAAAATTTTCGTAAAAAGTAGCCTATATCACTTTCCAGCCCTCCAACTATCTCCACACATAAAATAACGACAATCCGTTACTCCGTTTCGACGTGAAAGAAGGATAAACAATCAAACAAACAAACAAATAAACACACTTTCACGTTTATAATATAAGTATGGATATTACAGGAAAATGACTAATTTAAAATGTTATCTAAAATGTTATTAGAAATCAATATAAATTAAACTCTAAAATCAAAAAATAAATCGAATCCAATTTCGATATTTAAATTTTGAAGTACGATCCGTCAATAATTAATACTCCATGTATGATAACAACGCAATTCATTTTTACGATTCAATGCATTTTCAACATCTGGCAGGAGTTTTAATTCGCGTGCTTATTTATTTTGTTTGCCTGGTATTCAAGTATTTATTGAACAGTGTTTTGTTGGTCATTTGTAGTAAAAAAAAGAGAATGTTGAGATGAAGCTTACAAACCCCTTTGTCCTCAGATACCTTCTAAACGCTTTTCTTTTATAATTAAAAGTTAACATATAAAATATACATACATCGAACATAGTACCCACCTTTATTGGATAATTTGTTTTATTTAGTAATAATTCGTGTTAAGATAATGGAATCTGCCGGTAAAGGTACACATAAATATTTTAAACGCGAAATCTATCTAGAAAAGTTAAGGTGGATAGCTAGTATAGTAATAAAGTAGCTTATTGATGTTTAATCACGATATATTTTAATTATTGATTAATTTTTATCATATACTCGTACGTACCTAAGTGTTAACTAATCGTTAGTATAAAAGCGTTTCGTATGATATTAGTTATTTTGTCTGGATAGATCGTATGTGTATCTTTATAATGATTTCTGTTATAACAACTTCTAGATTAATATTAATATTATTTGTTTGAAGCCTTCATCCGCGGCTACGCTCTAGTGTTCTCATGAAAAAAATCTAGCTGCTTTTTCACTAATGCTCTACAACTCTATCAGCCAGCGAAAGTCCCGAAAAAACTTTTTATTTCAGGTGACTAGCCGATACAAATACACAGACAAGAATTTTAATAGTATATAAAACAACATAATGAGTCCAGTATGAATTAGCTTCAAAAGGGAAGATTAAAAAAATATCAGTTGTATGTTTTTGTGTGCCTATAGGTAGGTCTCGTAATTATGTGCCTAAGTACATTTAATCAAAATTATATCAATTATATCGTTATTCGTTGCACCATTAAGGATGTTCGTTGTTCACATAAATTTTAATAGAAAGTTTCCCCTTAAAGGTAATAATTACTTTTTTTTTAATTATTACCTTGGCGTTCTGACGGTTTGATTGTGAACGGGACATTTAAACTCCCAGTCTGGCAATTGCAAAATGTATATAATTTCTTCATCCTCTTCTGATTCTTTACGTTTTTTAGATTCGGTATTTGCATAAGGCTGAAATATTGCAATAATTTAAATTAAAAAAAAACATATAAAATTGAAAATATAACTCCTCTCTCACAAAAAATGGCTTTCCATCACAAATCTCTTTTTATTTTGTCAATACTTTTATAATATAGTGCAGATATATTTGTCTGTGTGTCTGTCTGTGTTGTTGTTTAATCTTGCTCCATTCAAAAAAAATCGGTTTAACCACTTTTTAAAGTTTCATGGACCTATCTATACGTGATGTCTATATTTGTTCAGAGTATCATAGATATCTAAGCAATCTTAAATACAAATTATTTCAAACACATAAAATTACATACAAACACACTGGGCGCGGATATTGCCTCGCTCGGGTCCAGGAATCCATCTAATATCTGTTGATTAATTTTGTATTTGCGAGCCAAATTGAAATGTTTCACATCTTCTTGGGTCATCGGAAATGTGATTAAAGGCCGTCTGGTAAAAAACATAAGTCATTATGTTAAATTTGATAATTTTTGGTAGAAATCATTACTACGAAGACGTACGTGTACTTACGTGTACGTACATACATATGTTAATGATCTCGAATAATTTGAGAACATTTTCTTCTTCGTAATGAATGCACTATGGGACAGGACATTGAAACGTACCTACTATTGAGACAATACAAACCAAACAGAAATCGCCTGGTTTAGTAAAGATATTATGTTATTCTATATTATTACAAAAGTGACAGTATTGTATATGTTTTGCTTATCCTTCCATAGATTATAATCTAGATTTATGAATAGAAGGGTGCTAAGCCAGACAATACCGCACATTAAATGATTCCCATGAAAAATAATATTTTCCACAGTAATATAGTGAATGTGAGTTACTTACATTGTAGTTATAACAAAGCAAAACAAATACGGGCTACCAATAGACTATGAAAATATAAAATTATTTTTAGAAGTACCAAATATAATTAGTAATACGTACCTAAACGGGTCCAGATACAGAGATCGTGGGGGCAGTTTGAAGTTCTTCTTAATGTAGTCTTCATCTAAGAGTTGGAAGTCACTTTTGTGTTGGCTTGGTGCTCCTGCGCGTTGTGGTCTCGCATCGTGTTCCGTTCCATCGCGGGGCACCAAGCAGATCAGAGGTAGACTCGCCTGGCCCGCACTGTGGGCCCCAGCACCGGCGCATGTGCAGCAACTAGGGAAAAACAAATTTGAAATATCAAATACTATAAAGTTCTTAAGTTACAAGTTGTAAACACATATCTACAAATTTATTGATTTATTTGCAGGCCTCCGATACTTTCAGTATTACGATAGGCATGGTTAAATAAGGTGCAAGCATAAATATGCTCTTAATTGAACAAAACTATCTAATCTCACGAGAAGGAGAGTTACTCGTAGCTTAATTTAGATGACACGTAAAAACGACATAATATATATGTATTTACACCATGCTTATGTGATTTATTTGGATTGAGATATAATTCAAAGGTTGATGATGTCATCATGTAATCTAAAGTATAATTATTAGTACTTAAAGGTATATTCGTATGCGAAAGGTTAGTTTAAACGCTTTGTTTGTAATATGTAGATTTAGCTATTTCAAATTAACATTCAGTATGAATGAAAGCCAGAGGGAAGATTTTTTTTTAATTTACACTTGATAAATGTCGATGATGAGAAGGAACGAGAAATCATCTTAGCTGATTTGAGAAAAATCGATATATAAGCATAGTAGCAGACCTAGAAATTATTATATTAAATATATTAACTACTTAGGTCAGTTTAAGTTTTAAAAGTTCTCTAACATACATATATGTATAAACTATATATGTTATATCAAAATATTATATTGATGCAAATATGTGTAATATCATATAATCGATGAGTTCGAGAATCGAGAAAAATGATGAGAATCGAGTTTCGCTTTCCGTAACATTAAAAACTGAAATATGCATACAGCTTTGACTACAATAATAAAATAATGACGAAGATGTCTAGAACAATAAAGTCAGTAAAATAAAATCAAAACTAGTGGCAGCTATTGCGAGTCAATAGTTGCAGTACCTATTATCCCGTTTTTTTTATAATACAAAAATAGAAAACCATATCTTCTTCTTATCCTTGTCCCAGGCGACGTGGGGCGGCGTCTCTCTATGAGCCGTCATTTCGGGACACACATTCACCCATTTTTTCTCTTCTCTTTCTTATTCGCACAGTCCATACAAACTTTCAGCGGTCTACCCTCTACCTCTATATCCATTCACATTTATCCCTTATATTTTTCTATCCATCTACTCATAATATGCCCATACCACGTTAACCTTATTATCTCAGCTTTTGTCACGGTGCTACTTTTAAAGTACTTCCATCCATCTTAACATTTGCTTCTCTACCACATGTACCTACTCTACTTCTGTTCGAGTACTTTTGGCTCCCCAAAAAATAGAATATCATATCAAACGTTACTTTATGTGTTTTTTAAGTTATTATTTTAGTTTGCGGTATAAAAAAATAATAATTAAAAAATCTATTGTAGTCAATTTCATTCAAGGTCACCTCTCAAATTCACAATGGTCCTTAGGAGTTTTCAGAATTTATTATTATTATTTAATACATTAATTACTTAATAAATTACATAAAATGGATAAAGATTATAATTATATTAGGTATATTTTTTCTTTTTTGTAATTTTGTTTTTGCTTTTTCTTCTTTTTTTGATATTTTATTAATATGATATTTATGTATATTAGTGGAAACTTTATTGGTTTATGTGCTCTCTTTTATTTAGTTATCTCCTCTAAATGTCTTAAATACTGTTTGTTTCTCAAAAATAAATAAATAAACATATTCCAATTGCGAATCACTATACATTAAACAATTTATTTACACAATATTAAGTCAAATATTAAAATACGTTGGTCCAAAAATATTTCAACTTCAGTATTTCAGTTTTAAATATAGCCTTTCATATTAAATATAAATGCAAAATAATTAAAATACCTGTATTTTAAGCAAAGGAACGATAGTTAGGCGAAATTGAAATCTACAATATCATTCACATAAGATGGCAAATAGAATAACGATGAAAATTAATGTTACCTTGCCATTATTTTAAATCGTGTTTCAAATAGGTATTTACAAAACGATTTAGTGCCCCAAGGTTATCATTTTTGATATATTATTAAATTAACATAAATTTTACATTGTTTATTGAATTTATAAAATAATAAAAATACAAAAACAAATTGACATATTTGGTTTTTATGATTTTGATCTCAAAATTTTTGCAACCAGTCAATATATAGAACATTTAAAAAGAGTTTGCAATACTGATAATTAAAAAAATATATATTATATACGCTTATATTTTATTATTTACGTTCTAAAAACCTACGATGAAAAAATGTGAATGTGTGTGAAATGTGAAGCCTTTAGTAATACTACCTATATATAAAAATTATTGAGTTTGTGAAAAACGATAAGTATGAAATTTGAATAATATGTAATTGGAATAATGGGAAAATAATGATGTGCATAATGTATATTGTATAGAATAGAATAATACTTTTTGCCACAGCAACATTACTCAACTCGTTCTCAATAAATCAAGTTTTGTTAAAATTATAATAATTACTTTTCTAGGTGTTTTTTTTCTGATTTTTCCATATTAATAAATAAAGTAAGGCTGAGGTAGTCCAGTGATAACGCGCTCGCTTGGGAAACTGAGTGAAGCGGGTTTAAATCCCGAGTCTCGCACCTCTTTCCTTTCAGTGAAGGTAAACATCGTGAGGAGACCTGCACGTCTTAGAGAACCTAGCTAGTTTTTTATAGACATGTGTAGTCCGCCAACCTGCACTTAGCTATCGTGGTGGACTATGACTTGATCTCCCTTGTCTTGAAGGAAGGCCCGTGCCCATCAGTGGGACGTTAAAAAAGGGGTGATAATAAAAAAAAAATTAAATAGTAAAAACGGCATATATCTGCCGATTGAGTGACACAAAGTTGCCTAGGGAGTGCATACTCAAACAAATGCATATCCGAGCAACAGTTGCTTACCCAGTCGCCGGCATTTTTTTTCGCGCCATGCATAGTTGATGCACATACATAGTCAATGCATTCGATTTTAAGTTTTATTGGAAGAGCTGTGGTTTTATATCGCATATAACAATATATTCTATTTATTTTAACAGGTTTCATTATTTTATTGAATAAACAAAGCTACTACGGAAACGGAAACACCGTTTACCAAAATTACGGTTTAATTTTCCCCGTTCTTTTACAGGAAAATTCAGTTCATGATTGGACGGATGTGTCAATAAGCGTCAGTAGGTACACAAATTGTCGAAAATAGCGTTTAAGTATATTACATACATTGATATTGGGACGATTGATATGCATTTAAGAATAAAATGGAGATTGAAACTGGCCGGAGGACGAACAAATATGCAAATGTATATGTATTTAGGGAAGGCGGGTTATGACTAGCGCGTTGGTCTACCGACTTGCATACGTACATGAGCGTGAGGTCTTGGGTTTGAGTCAAAATAGTTACCGGGTTTTTCTATCACAAATTCTCTATGTCTTGTGCACTATAATTAGTATATCACACGCCTTTCGCCACCATAATTGAAATCGATTTAGAAGGTCTTATGTATTCGGGTATTCTTAGCTTTTGCTGTGGCTTATTTAATTCGACCCTCAAAAAAAAATGCACTTAAACATGTCATAAACGTACAATTTTTATCTTTTTATTAGAGGAAGCCATAGTAGAAACCATAATGCCTGAGCTCAGTATTTTACATATAGCTGGACAAATGTCAGACAAACAACTTCTCACTCGTATGGTATCATGTATTTACGAGAACAATATTTGTTTTAAGAAGATATTTCAATTTTAAATAACAGTTTAATAAAATTGGACAATTTATGTTACTGATGATAAAAAATGAACGTAATAACCTAGGTATATAGAAGACCGACCATAATTTTTCTAGATCAGAAAATAGTATGACGGAGCCAATAAGCCCGTTGCCGCGGGCGATAAATAGCCGTACCGCTATTAACTTTTAGAGTTGCTTAATACACGTATGCCACTTTGTTCTTAATCATTTAATGGATAAAGACGTTATTTGCTTAGAGCATTTAATATTAAAGAAATTTTCTCTATTGTATAAAAGATTGCCGTTGAAAAGTGACGCGTGGCGATCACACGCTGATCGCAATATTAGACCCATCGCATTGTAGGGTATGATAAGTTTGTTTGATGAGACTCCCTCTGTTTGAACCTGTCGAATCAATAGCTTGGTCTTAGATATTGAAATGTAAGTTACGGCGCGAGTAACGGCCACGTGTACGAGGAGTTACAGTCAATTGTGTTTTTGAATAAGGAATTATATTTTTGTTTTTTTTTTAAATGTGGTTTTTATGCAAAAGTAGCCTAAGCACATTTACTTGTGATAACATATTATAGAATTTTAGGATTCTGTACCTAATTGATCCAAACGAAACGATATCATGTATAATAATGTTGTATCTTATTCGTCTGTCCTTAGTTTAAACCGTGATTCGTCAGTTTCGTGCAATATGTTATATATGTTAATACCGCCAATCTTGCAACGAAAAATAAAAAAAACCATCGAGTAAATTTTTAAGAACAACACTTAAACAGCACTATTACTACTACTACTTGAAGGAGCTTCTGATCTTTTAATTTTTATTCCTTTTTCTGTTCTACATTTTTTAATTTCAAGCATTTTAATGTTATTATAGTGCTCATCTTAAAGTAGTTGGTAAATATATAGAAATATTAACAATATGTTAGCAGATGATAGGAAAACGTCGATGCTCGTGGTTTCGAACTTAACCAATTTTCACAAGGCAAATAATATTTATTACGAAATCATATAAAACTTTATTATATGTGTACATATTTTTATTTATTTCCTATCCCAAAAATATATTTAAATTACACATTTTTGATATTTATTTGTGTTAGTATCTATTTCTGTGTATAATTAGTCATCTTTTTAAAGAAAATATAATGAACCGCATCAGTATCCGAACTCTTTTAAAGTTTATTAGATATTATAGTGCAATAAATCAAATTAAACCAAAAAAAGAATTCATGTAGGCTTTTACAAGTACTTTAGAATTGTCAATTTTTACATGTTTAAATTTAAATTAAATGCCAGTATGTGAGAAAACTATCAGTTCGAAAGGCAGTTCAAACATTGTCATTGACATTGATGATGATGTTCTCCTAGCCGATTCCAGCTACGGCGGCCAATCTCATTGAGATTAGCCAACTGCGCAGGAGATATTATAGTGCACAAGTGTACGCGCAGACACAAGTGCACTCTCTATTCCTATCACTCTCATACTCCGGTGGGACGACCACTCGACACGACCGGTGAGAGTTAAGGCCCAGGACCGACGGCTTTAGTGCTCTCCGAGGCACGGGGGTGAAACACCGCCACTTCCGAACTTCGGGCTGTTACTGAGACTTACTATACAGAAAGAATCAGTAACTAAACTTGACCCGACCCGGGACTCGAACCCAAGACCTCCGGGTGTGCAGCCGTACATGCTAGCCACTACACCACCGAGGCAGTTGTCATTGACATTAACTATGTTTTGAGTATTAACTAAGAAAAGTAGTTGTTAGATTACTTTGAAGAGTAATTAATTAGTATATCTTGTGTGAAGCCTCTAACTCATTGGTGTTCTATTTTGTGGATAGGCATATTTTATTTTGCTGATCATATAAATTCTCATGAGAAGTTCCCCATAGGGATAAAAATAATCAGATATTCTTCTCAAGTTCTACTAATGCACGTTTTATTCAACAAAATTCCTTTAGACGTTTCTTAGATTTCATTAAAGCTTATTATGTTTTTCGATAGCACAGTCATTTGTTTTTTGATATTGCTCAAATACGGGCGAAACAACATAGACCATGGTTCCGAGAGTGCTAAATTTTAATTTTAATAATAATATTTAATAAGTATTTACAAAAATAATGTTTTTTAGTTTGTATGTTCTTCTACCTCTTTAGCCCGACAGAGAGTAAATACTAAATACTCACTCCCAAAAAAGAACGACCGGGATTTTCTTTTGTATGTAATTGATCTGTACTAATTTTATGATATGTGTGGTATGGCCATGAACGAATTAGTGGCTAATTCGTTCATGGGTGTGGTACTTTGACACATGATTTTTAACTTAAAATATCATCAAGTTTTGTAAATAAGCAGAACTAAA